TCGGGGAGCATGGACCTCCAGCGCTGCCCATCGAGTGGATGGGCCGAAAAAGGCCCATGTCAGTTGTTTGCCCACGAAAAGTAGAAAGTCCAGGAAAGTCCCAAACTGGTTGTTTACCCACTAAAATGGTCCAAACCCAAAAAGCATAAAGTCCGAAACAGAACTCAGGAAGTGAGGAAACGGCAACAACTGACTCTCCATGTGAAGGCCAAGTAAATACCAGGGCTCTTGGCCTCAAGGTACCAAGTTGCGAGCCTCTCCCGTGACCATCCTGGCTGTATGTTGAGGTTCTTCCTGAAAGCCAGTCCAAGGCTGCGTTCTCAAATGTCGTACTGAATTGTGGCCATCCTTCCCATTCAGGAGCCACCGCACTGAGCGTGTGAATCAACGCCCGGAGAGCCCGGAAATTGCCCGACTCTCGACCGACCAAACGACCGACCACTTGTGCCGAGGCGCGCCAAGGCAGTGCACTTGGGCGCAGCCTGGCAAATTCGGGCCCGCCTTTAAACATCACCCAAAACTTGCTGGCGCCACAGGCAGGGATGGAGGGAATGAACCTGGATATTCCCTTAAATGAATCCACAAGGGATGGTTTATAGGGGTCTGACTGCTGAGCGCCAGCAACTAAAATCTCAGTGTGTTCTTTTGGAGGGTACCGTTTTTTGGTGCTTTTGAAGGGACCAAAGTAAACGCCACCATTTGGGAGGTCCCCTAAAAAGAGACACATCCACCTGGCCGAATTATGTTCTTGTTGTCAAAGTCACCCCCTACTTCGATGGAAGGTGAAAGGGAAGCAGCCCAATTTCTGACTTTGACAACTGCCATGGTCAAAAAAGGAAAATATGCAACATTGCAACATGCCACCAAACTGAACATATGTTGAAATGCAAACCAAAAAAGGGGTGGACTCTTGAATAGGACACCAAGCAAAAACTAACCACACAGAGTGTTCCTTAACATTGAGACCGATGGTTTGAGATGCGCCCCACGCCGCGAAGTTCGCAGGGAGCCGAATCCTTATGCTTCTTCCCGCAGGGAGTATGTTCCGTTCCGTCGTCGGGCGTCCACGTCATGCCAGAGGGACAAACATGGCCAAGTTCACCGGATGAAGAGAGCACAAAGAGTTGCAAAAATTGGCACCCCAAAGCAGAAGCCAGTTTTTGCGTTAAGTCCCCTAAACCAGGGACTGAACTGAACAAGCGCCCAACCTGCAACTCCCCCTTGAGGACACCAAGATCCAAGGACGCCAAGTGGGTTAGAGGCCATGTAGTTTTGCTACAGCTCCAAGCAGTGCTTCAACCCGAGAAAGGATCCCGGAGTCCCAATGAGGCACCCTCAAGGGTCAACTCAAGCTCCCAGGCCTTGCCGGACTTGCCTGGCGCGTAGATCCACTTCCAGCTATTGAGGCATTCCGTGTACTGACATGGTGTCAAGGGCCCTTAACGTCCTTGGCTATTGCCATCCTGACTCACATGGGAAGAATCATCTGACTTTTTGTCGGCTTAGGAACCTGTCAAAGATGGGGACAGCATTTGATTCCTCGTAGAAATACACAAACTAACGTCAAAAGCGCAGTGATATGGTGCCTACACCTTCCTGCCTCAACACTGTCACTTGGATCTTGGCCAGCTCGGTATGCCATTTCGAGTGTCACGGCACGTCCAAGAAAAACCATCAGGCTCAAACTGGGATGGCCCGTGACTGCGACAACTGCGACTGACACTCACGCGGGCAGGGACCAGGAAGCAACAGGTGAAAAACTGTTGGGCCAGTGTGGCCAACGGCATCAAACCTGGGACACCAAGGTCAAATGGTCGAATTCGGACGGCGAAGTGCAACGAGCCACAATTGTCCCAACGCTTCAAGCGAGTCGCAGGCAAAAAAAACTCGCGGCACCCAAACAAAATATCAAAACTTTTGGTACGCACACACACACTCTCACACACACACACACACGTGCTGAATTTTGCAAGTGAGTGACCAGCGCACAGACTTCTGTCCCGTCCCTCGCACGGCGCCGGCATGATCCATATTTCTTCTCTCAGCGCACGTGGCAAAAACGGGCAGCTCACAGGTCAATGGGATTTTGGCCGGGTATCCTTGCAAATGCACTTCCCGCTTGTAGACCCCTTTTTATGTTTAATTACCCGATTGAGGCTCTCGTGAGAGGCTCACCAATAGGGATATAAGTTGGGTGCTCTCTCCGAGCAGTAACAGAGATGTTCTTCTCGCAGGTGGCGCTTAGCCGCGGGGCCGGCTCTCCTGGTCAAACTGGCTAAACTTCTACCTGGCGGGTTGGCATTATAAAGAACTCCCTTGGGCACAAGCCTATGTTTGGCTGCACCAAATGTCACCAAAGTCCGCAAAACGGGGCCTGTACATTTGACTACTCTTCATGAGGATTTGGATCTTGAGGTATGTGACATCGTTATTCACCGTGACTCCAAGCAACCGCCAAAACGCCTTCAAAGGCTTTGGCAGCACCTGCAGGGAGTGCCCGCCAGAAATCGCCCAGTGTACACCAATACCTCCGAATCAAGACCAACAAGTTGCGGGAAGCTATTCTAGCGAACCCAGAGACTTCAGGCACTTGAGGTTGATTAGCTAGGTCCTCCAACAGAGAGGTTAGAACAAGGGCACCCTGTAGTCTATTTTAGTAGGGGAACCCTCCCCCAACAAAGGGTGAAAGGGCACCACTGGGGGACCTAGTTAGACTCGGACACCCTGTTTGCTGGCCAAAGGGAGAAATGCTGGGCGCCCGAGGCAGAAGGAGAAGAAATCAGATCTGCAATTGCCTTAATGTGAACTCTGGAGGCTGAGAAGTTGTAAAGCTTAGTTTGGTGATTCGGTACAGTATCACGCAGCTTGGATCCTGTCGCTCGGCGGTTGCCGGCTCAATGCAAATGCCTGTAGCCCGCGCATGTCTCCAAATTCAGGGTAGCCTCCAAACAACTGACAACACCTGTAGGAAGGCCTACTTCTACATGCCTGGATTCAGTTGCCCAAACCAGCATGCTTCCTCAACCCAACAATCAGGGTGTCCTTTTCCCCACTACAGGTACTTCCATTTGCGTTTTCGCCCCCTGGAAAACCAACTAAAAATATGTCCAGCAGTGATAGATCCCCTCTAAAACCAACAAGGATTTAAATAGAAAATGGAAGTTTCACAGAACGGCTTCTCCTGGCAATCCGCTGGGTTTCCATTCCATTCCGAGACCCCGATTTGCGCGCGCCCGATTTGCTCCTCTTCAGGGCGGCGCCATGTCGCCCCCCAGCACTGGGGTGCCAGGGGGCGGCTTGGCGGCCTCGTCCCAAAGCCGACGCTCCAGCGGCACCTCACCCAGCGGTGCGCGAGACACGGTGGGAACCCCTGGGCTTGTGTACGCATGCGGCAATTGTCGTGTGTTTATCTAGGTATTTATCTAGGTGTGTATCTAATTATGTATACATGCATATATATATATAGCCTTCGTACAAATTACTGGTTTTGCATTATGTATATATTCCACCTGTGTTGCACCTCCGGTGATTGCTTCGAGGGATTGCACACCCCGATGCTGAGCATTCACAAACACATATTTTCCAGCACGCCCAAAAAGAGAGGCCATCTTTGAAAAATAGCCCTTGAAACGTTTGGTCCATGTGTGTGTGTGTGCACTTGTGAGTTCGTGCGCACATGTGAACCGTGTATGGTGTATATCTTTGGGATGGTCAACAACGGGGGATTCATGTCCCGTTTCAGGACATCCTTCAAAGAGGCCCGGCTGTAGGGTTTAGGTGTTGGACCCTGGTGTCGTGTTGTGCTGCTTAGGGAGGCCCTTTTGCCAAACCATCCGGGTAAATTGTAAACAATTACCTGACCTGAAACAGCCAAGTCATAACTTCATTGGCGAACCGGAAGCCAAAATCAAATGCGAGGTCGCTCTTTGCCCAGTTGGCCATGGCTCAAAAGCCCGTACCCCCAGTGAACATCCCAATCCCCACGAACAAAAAACAACTAAAATGGGTGGTGCACCTACCCCAAAATGGTGCCATTGGTTTGACAACCACAGCCATATGATCCAAGTAAGTGGGTATGGGCCAAAATTATACCCCCCAAAGGACCGCAGGTTTTAGTCCTTTCCATGAGCCAGGGCAAGCCATTTTGGGGTTACCCTATTTTTGACAACCACCGCCAGTGAACATCCCAATGAACATCCCGATCCCCACAAAAATAGGTTCTAAAATGGGTGGTGCATTCACCTACCAACCAAAATGGAATCCCAAACCAGTTTTGACCACAGCACCCTTATTTCCAGTCAGCTGACGAGTCTTTGTCTTGCTCTGGTGGTCTGCTGGTGGTTTAACAAACGCAATTTGAGAATGCAGTTCTAAATGCTATCCGTTACAAAAATAATTATTTGATGGGAAGAGTTACCTGACCCGTCAGTCTTAACCCTGGTGGTCTGGTAATAGTTCCAAGGCGCAAAGGCATTGTGGCGCTCCCACTGGACCCCCGCGCTGCGGGTTTTGGCGCAGTCCTGCACTGCCACCGACTGCGACGCCACCGGCAGCCGGTCCAAACCTCAGTTCAGTGACTCTGGAAAAAGGGAGCCCTGTTTGGGGAAGACCGTTTTTAGTGGTGCCACCAAAAAAAGGGGGGAAAAAGAATTGGTGCCACTGAACAACTGAGAAACACGTCTCGAAGGTGCGGCGCCGGCCGTTGTCGCCCCAGGTCAGAGGCGTCTGGATCCACCCGGGACCGTCCACGACCTGGTGAGACAAGTGATCAGCGAGCATCGTACGTTCGCAAAAGAACTCCCGGGCTTGAATCTTTGCAATTACTTATACAAACAGTGCTTAGGAAGCAACAGTCTTGGAGAGCGATGGCAGCCAGCAAGACCTGGGTTTCTACCTGAACCTCTTTGCTTCGAGTGTCAACACGTGTGTGCCGATGAGCTCTGCGTGGCATGGCTTGAGTTGCTTTTGATCTCAGGCATGGACAGCATGTTGCCAGGAATTTTCCAGGAAGGTGGACAAAATTGGAGAGCCCCTTTGTTGTAAAACTGGGTGACTCCCAAGTCCTCTCCAGATTTTTTTTTGTCTCATGGAGAATATGATATTTGTTTCACGCGGTCAACAAAAAGGTGGCCGACAGGTGGCACGGTGGCCTTCCATGTACCTCTTGTGATGCCGAGCCGTCTTTTCTCCTTTTTGATTTAGAGTGGGTACCCAAGGTTCCAACACTGAAGGGGCGGGCCTTAACGAAAAGGCATGTTTGTTCCTCCCTGATGAGTCTTGGGAGGCGGGTTAACGATGGACAGATCCAAGTGGCTGTTCTTTCGTGTTTCCTTTAAACAGCCATGTGTGACCTACGCATGCGTGCGAGCACACAGCACAGTCGATTCCCTTGACACGCAGTACGTTGTCCAAGGCTAACTCTATCAAACAAACAATGGTCAAACAAAACCAGTAGCTAAGCGCTCATGGCACTGGCCTAAACATGCGTGCATACACGCTAAACCCCAACCAGCTTGAGGAACTACGTTCTGTGGATGGAAGGTGATCGGCGAAAGCGTCCCGTGTATACATGAGTGCACAACCCAGCCAGCATCACAGAAGACAGTGCCACATGATCCGCTTCGCAAAGCATTGACCAAACCAAGACAAGTTGCAACAACTGCAGCTCGCGAACACCATACATACAGCACGTGGCCTCTCACACAGAAACGCATGATACCTTGTCCACAGTGGGGCTTCAGGTAACGTATTAAACTGAGACAAGTGACCGCAAAGGCAAATTCAACCAGTTGCGACCGGATCTTTCGAGCAAGCTCCCTTTGCTTTGCCCAAGCAACCGCAAAGGAACCAACATGGGGTATGAAAGTACAACAAAGCGAACAAAAGGGAGATGGGTGCCAAGGTCCTTAAGGCAACTCACAAGTCGTACTGACCAAACACTTCATTGTGAACAAATTCAGCCGCCACTCCCGGCTTTGCCGAAAGAGAAGGAAAACTCAGGGGGCTAGTGGGGGGGGAGGCAGCCCACAAAAGCCCTTTTTAAGGCCGTATGTATGGCGTATTTGGGCTCCCCTCCCCAGACCCCATGAAAAACTTGTGGGGGCGGCCAAGGCCAGCCAAGGTGCGCTGAATCTCTGGGGCTGCTTGATGCCCTGGGGATGGCAGGGGTACAAGATCGGCCTGCGGATCGAGGCAAGTCTCGGTCTGCGGATCGGTCGCGTGTGTCAACAACTTGCCCCTGCGTAGTAGGGAATGAGAAGTGCAACAACCCCAATAAACCATTGCTTTGTGGTTTCCTTTAGGGGAATCTGGGTTCGTTCCCTCATTCCCTACCTATCGCACCAGCAAGACAATCATCCTTAAAACTGTTCCAGAAAACCAACCCCGGGCAAAGCCCGACCCCACAAAAAATACACCTTCAAGACAGGCGGAGAGTTTGGTATCTCTCCGAGGGAATGTCTTGGAAGTATATTTGTATCAAAATGGCTCTGTGCATCTCCAAATGTGCTGTCTAAAAATCCTGCCTCCCCACATAACTGGTTTCAGGCTAGCTTTCTTTCAAAAGCAAATGAGGTCCCTGAATTTGGACATCCCCAAACATGCGGATTGATGAGATTTGGCCGTCTATGTTGCAAAAGGAGTACGGCTCCGGCTGAGTCGCATCTGTCAATCCTGAAGCAAACTCTGAGTTCCTGAGAGGCAGCATACTGACCAGTGCAAGTGATGCTCTAAATTGGTACAAAGCGCAAGAAGACTGCACCTAATATGCCTCCTCCTTCTCTTCCTCCTCAATCACCGCCACAACTGAACACGCCCGCAGTCTTGGCCCCGTCCATTGTAGTACTGCGTGCTGTACTCTGCAATTCGATTGACCAGGCATCCCCAAACCCCATGGTGCCGTCAGGACAAAACGCCGATGATCGCACACCGGGCGTGAGCGAGACTTGCATGCTGCCACAGCGAGGATAAACCAGCGGAGACGTAGACGTCACAAGCATACATCCACTGTTTCCCCGTGAACATGGCTTGGGAGTTGGTTATGCTCTTACGAGTTGATCCACAACTATGCATTGGATTCGCTTGTTGATATAAGTCCGCTCAATTGGCAACTTCAATTTGAGAGTACCCTTTTTGAGTTTGATTTCTGCTCTTGTGAAAGCAAACCTGCAGAGTTGACCCTTGGATACCTGAACAGACTTCTGACCGTCCCTTCGAAAGCAGTCCAATAGATTGCGCCTAACTGACGGCACGTCTGCATGCATCTCACGCATCACAACATCAAGCATGTCAAGCAATGCTCTGAAATGCAGTGCGTTTCGTTCACCCCACCGTCTAATCATGTATGGGGCAGTCCCGATGTTATTTTATTCTTCAGGGATGCACCACCAGGATGATCACCACCAGGATGATCTTTGGTCACGCCTTGATCAAGTGCCAAATCTTCATCATGGACAAGTTTGTTCATACCCTGGGGTAAGCTTCAACAATCCGTGCAAAGCAAGAAGTCATGCATCAGCCGCAAATCCAGCCTGCGCTTCTGACCAGCGTCAATGCATTGCTTGGAGGCATCATGCTGCAGCTGACTCCAGCCGTCCTTCACTGGCTTTGTTTGGTTCCCCCAAGGCACCAGACGTGTGCAAGGATGGGCAAGCACGACTTGCAATGTTCGGTGAGTTGTGGGCAGGGACCCTAGCCATGTATCTCTCACATGTTGCGGTGCCAATCTTGAAGGGTTCAACTTGTTCATCAGAATGATTCTGAGACCGATCTCTAGGGGCAAAGGCCAAGAGCGAGAATGGGAAGCGACACTTGAAGATCAGCTGGACAGCTGCCAGGTGACTGCAAACATAACCATAGCAGGTTGGTCAGGAGATAGCTGGGCTTACACGATCGCAAATCTATTCAGCTCACCTCCAAAATGTGCGCACGAAGGCAAGCGCAAATTCCGGCTGAGGACACTGCATAGCAAGAAGCTGCCCCGGTTTTGGTGCAATACTCATCTCATAGAAACCTCTGGCATGACCAGTGGCAAACACAGGCTACACACGAATTCATGTGGAATGACAGTGGGGCACCAGCAAACCTGAAAACCGAGGCTTTGCGGCCGGGCGCAAAGGACTCTCTCGATTGTTTCTCATTCCAAGTGGGCAGCGCAATTGGAGAAAAACGCATGGCGTAACTAAACGCAATGCTTTCATGGAGTTGGATGGGGCTTTTTTGGTGAACATCACGTGGGCGTTGATGTGCGTGGAAGCACTTTTCAGGTTCTAACTGTCATAATTCAAAGCCAACTGGGTGTCTTTTTTTGGTCTCCCCCCATGGTGGCTTTCCAGTGGGCTTCCCTTTAAAACCACAAAAAGCAACGGGTACCAACTTAAACCAAAGACACTGCGCGGCCGGCGCCGGCGCCGATTTCTTGGTCCTTGGTGCGGACGCGCCACCGCTGCTGCGAGGAGCACTCTGCGAGGCCCAGCACGTTGCCGGACAGCGACGCCAGGCACCGGCCGTCGTGCTGGTCCTGACAAACTAGGTCCTCCAGTAGCGAGGTTAGAATACGGGTACCCGATGTTTTCTGCAGTCGATTTTAGTAGGGGAACCCTCCCAACCAAAACAGGGGTGAGAAAGGGCACTACTGGGGGACCTAGCAAATGTGTTTGTTGCTTGTTAAGGTACTCTTTTGAGGTATTGAAGGCAATTGTGGCATTGTTTTAAGGTACCCTTTTTGGGGAGTTTTGAAGGGATGCCAAAATGAAACCTCCAAACGGTAGCTCTGACAGTCGGTGGACTTCCCTGAACTTTCAGTAGGTAACAGCCAAATGTTGCCTAAGTCTCGACACACACACACACACTGGTTACAATTGTTTAGAGTTTCGCGTGCAAGTTTGATACGTGAAGGGGTCCCTTTTTGAGGTGTGGAAGTTTGAGATTCCTCTCAAAGCTACCACAAGCGGGTGACAAAGTAAGTAAGGGAAACCGCCATGGGGTATGTCGGACAACAATCAAACCAATAGGCGCGGATAGGTCTGGTCCAGACCCAAATTAGAAACAAAAGAGCACCTTCTGGGCCTGTTGAAATCAGAACAAACAGAAGAGGCATGGGTTTGTCTCAAACCTGGGAGGCATCAATAGGTTCAGCAGGGAATCGCCCGTAAGATGGAGTTGCGGTTTGGAAAGTAATGGCACTCCTGGTGAAGGGCTTGGACACCCTCCTTTATTTTCAAACATGGGTGATTTCCCTTCAGATCTTTGAAATGATGGCAATCCGCAACTCGCTTTTCTTTCGGAATCGCGTTTTAAAGCCGAAGGCATGCGAGGAGGCCATTGTTGGGCAAAGCTTGCTGAGTGTTCGAAACCCTGTAATGTTCCAGTGCGAACACCTAAAACGCGCGTTTGTCTAGGTCTCTGGTGGGTGGTAAGAATCTGCGTTGACAGCAATATCAGGCATGACTGTTGGTGTTTTTGCTGATGCCAATGGTGTTTTGCTGCTTTGAGCGATGTTGGTGTAGTGACGATCTAAGGGACTGCTAAAATTGGACAACATGTGTGCTTTTGCGAAATCCCCACAGCATTGTGTTTTTAGAAGTCTATAATTTGGGTATTTAAAGGGGGGTGGCTGTCATCCTGGTTTGATGGTTGATCTTGGGAAAAATCGAGAAACACTGGCCCCAGCATTCCCAGCATTCCTCGCACCCACGCCATCCCCAGAACTTGGCCAATGCTTTGCGTCCGAAGTTCATGACATTTTGGGCTTGGACATTTTGTCCGGCCTGGTACGCATTCTCAGCATGCAGTTAGTAAGTGGTCACACCACAAATGGCGCCGCTGGATCGCGTAGCGATTTCAATACAAAACACACCCACATGTTCAACCTGGCCGAGACAGGCGGGTATTTTCCACACTAGGGAGATTCTAAGAAGTGGTTTGTTTGGTTGAATGGTTTGTTGAGGAAAACAAACAACACAAAAGGCGGCCCCAGTGTTAGGATACCCCGATGATGGGCTTTCTGACCCGCTAGCTCTACGTCTGACCCTGATTTTCAAAAGTCGGCTTCCCAGTGTTTGCCTGTTTGCGGCCATTTCCGGTTGAAAACACGGTCAGAGAGGCCGAGACAAAGTGTGGAATTCCCCCTTTCACATTGATCTTGGCTCATCCATATTTTGACCCATGCTGCTGCACATTCTGGATCGCTTTCCCTTCTTTCATGGCTTTCAAACGTTTTCTTGGCTGCGCTAAGATCCCCTGCTAAAAGTTTAACTTTTAGTGGGTTGAATGGATCTCCGCACTAAACCCGAAAAAGCTAAAAGCTAAGGAACCGGATGGCTGGGAGCCACCGAGCTTTGACGTTTGACCTGCCTTCAGCAGAAAGGAGCCGCCCGCATCCACGTCTTCGCGCTTCAGGTGCTGCCCCGGTTTCAGGGCGCAGGTGGCTAGGCGGTATTCGCCTTGAGGCGGCGTCACCTCGCGAAATGGCGAAATGAGTCACAATCGAAACCCGGTATTGAAATGTTCTACCCAGAGCCATGTAAAGAATTAAGAAGGCGGCCGCAGCTATTTTTGGTTGGGACTGGCCCTTACTAAGCTTCACTTACCCGGGTTTTGATTGTGACGCATGTGGAGGACCCTTTGCGATGGGCAAGCAAACCTGGTGTAGTGGCGAGCACATCTTTTGACACAATCCACAATGGGAATCTTGGGCAGTGAAGAAAACACACACACACACACACAAGAAACAACAAAGCCTTCAAACAAAACATCACCCTTTAATTTCATTGCCGGTTTAACACGCCAGGGCTCATTGAATGTCGCGCTTTAGTTTGTCGTTTGTCGGAAGCCTGAGGTGCACCGTCTTTGCATGAAAGACCAGACACTCGTCGCGAAATTCCGCAAGTCCTCAATCCGGATGCCCCCCCATACACATATTCGTGCAAAACCATATTCATACTCTCATGGTTGCCAGGGATCCCGCCTTACGGATAAACCCCGAAAATCCCTGATTGATCTTGTGCCAGGCTCTATTAGCTGCCATTTGGGACCTTTTTGTTTTCTTTCTTGCTCCTTCGTTTCTTATTTTATTTTCTTTCCTTTTGGGAGGGGGCCTGACAATCATGAGGTGGATGCATGTAGGTATTCATTTACGTCCATGGTGAACTATATCTAACCTCTAGGTGAGCACTGGTTCGGGCCGCCGAATTTGTGGCCATGGCCGTCTTGAAAGGCCCCCAAATAACCTATATGAATTCTTCTTCAGGGACCTGAGCGGAGCGTCTGGGCGGGGTCACAGGTCGATTAGTAATCCATGCTTTAGATTTTAGACATGTCAAGGCTAATGAACGCTCTTTGGTTGATAACAAGTTCTCTGGGAACGGGTCCTTCCAAACTTACTTGGATAAATACACACTGGGACTTAAAGATCCCCAACACAAAAGAAAGCACTGAAATTGGCCGTGCGCCAGGATGACCTACTTTCTGAAGTTCCCAGCGATATTCCCCCCAAATAAACATGGGCACCTTGGATGAAATTGTCACTGTCTCCCGCGATATCCGCCGAATTGTACCATGCAAGGCTCATGTAAGTGCTTACCTGGTAAGTGACCCACAGAAGCAAAGTGGATCAGGTCCGAACCAAGTCTGGCAATTCTCATGCTGGAACGGTACCTCACTTTGGACGGTGGGAAACCCAACATATTAAAACCACTTGGAGGGCCTGAATTTCAGACAGAAACCAACATATGTAACAGATTGAAACCACTTGGAGGGCCTGAATTTCACACCAGTGACCCACGAAAAATAAAGTCAGTCAGGACCCGGAGCCCTGCCTTCTCCACAATCTTCTGGCTGTCTATGCATGCGCTGGGGCCTCCACCCTGTCCTGCGCGCACCGACGCACCGACACGGTCACGCCCGAAGTGCGCTTCCCCAAGCGAAAACAGCGTCACCAACGCCTCAGGCAGCTGAGTGTCAGAGAGACAAGTTTGGTGAATCAGTGCCGTGTGTCCCCTTTGCATTACAATAATTTGTGGTGATGCTGATGACGATGACGATGACATCAGCGATGATGATGATGATGATGATGATGATGATGATGATGATGTTGATGATGATGATGATGACGATGACGATGGCGACAACAACGGCGATGACGATGACAATGAAGATGATGACGATGACGATGATGGTGATGACGATGATGACCACGATGATGACGATGACGACGACGACGACGATGATGATGACGACGACGATGATGATGATGATGACGATGATGATGATGACGATGTCGACGACAATGACGAAAATAACGGTGATGACAATGATGACGATGACGACGACGATGGATGAGGATGAGGATGAGGATGATGATGAGGATGATGATGATGATGATGATGAGGATGATGATGAGGATGATGAGGATGACAATGATGATGATGATGATGATGATGATGATGATGATGATGATGATGATGATGATGACGACGATGATGATGACAGCGATAACGGCGATGACGGCGATAACGGCGATGACGATGATGAGGATGATGACGACTGTGATGATGATGAGGAGGAGGAGGACGACGAAAACGATGATCACGATGACAATGGTGTCGATGACGATGACCATTATAAGAGGAGGAGAAGGAGGAGGAGGAGGACGACGACGACGAGCACGATGGTGATGAGGACGATCACGATCACGACAGCAATGACGGCGACAACGACGATGACAACGATGATGCTGATGGCGGTGATGATAATCATGATGATGATGAGGAGGAGGAGGGCGATGGAGATACAGATGGGTGATAGTGGTGATGGTGGCGATGATGATTCGCTTGCCTTGATCATTGGTTTTCCTCATGCTGTAATGATGGTTCACAGCATTGTCCTCAGGGTAAAACCGCACCGATCATCTAGGCTTCTTCATGCAAAGCTGTGGGACTTACCAGATTTTGGGTCCCAACTCTGGAGCATGGTGGGTCCTTGCAAGTTCCTGCCGTGGGGTTGGCTCCCTACAAGTACTTTTGATCTGCAGCCGCCTTGGGTCTCGACAGGCCAATGTTGAGTGACGCTTAACCGCTGTGTATCTCTTGCCCGCGACAACTGGCAGACATCTGTTTCTTCTCAACTAAGGGGGAGTGGCAGGTACTTGTGCTTCCCACGCGAGCACCATCCTTGAAAGGGTCCCTCGTCAATTCCCCTTACATATCTCGTTTTTCCGAGCGACATTTTGTCAATGTCCTGTTCTTGGAAGAACAGAACAGGCTGAATTGCGCTGAGAAGGGTGCTCGTCTTACGCGCCTTGCTCCTTCCACTGGCCGTCATTTACCGCTGAAAACACTGAAAACACAGCGCTTCTGGTATTCCGAAGTCTTGGGTGAGCAACCCTTTCCGACATCTAACTCCCTAGGGTCTCCTTCCCAGAGCAGTCGCGCAGCGCGGATGGTCCAAATCTGATTCACGTTGTGTTGCTTGGCGTCGTAGCAGGGGTAGACCAAGACTTGCCGCCCTCCCGCGGAATCCAGGCAGTATTCCGTGTCCTGGGCGAAACCGGCATAGGCAAGCCATGTGTAGTTTAGTTCATCTGGTGCAATGATGTAAATGTTGAGGATATTTGCCTATAATCATAATTCATAATTGGTTGCCTATAATATGTATTTGTTTACTATGACAAACAAAACTGGTTGCCTATAATCATAATTCAAAGTACGGCGAATAGGTGATTCTCCGACTGGTAGGGTTCCTTGTCCGTTGAGAACCACTCAAAAACATATCTCCAATTTCGAAAATTGAGTCAGCCAGGGTTGGGCTTTCCCACACTCAACGCAGGCCATGGCAGGGTCCCCTTGGAATGCTGCATTTTGGCGTCACCAGTTGTTGAACAAGAGCTCGAGACAAACTTGCAACTTGGCCACAAGCTGTTGACCAGCAGGATCACCAAGCAGGACGATTGCAATTCCACGGTGACACTTGGTTTTGGCAGAGTCCAGCGGAATGCAACGCCAGGATGAAATTGTGTTCATTCCCCCCACGAATCGGAACAATCCAAACTCACGGCGGTTTGTGTATGGACTTTGTACGGGCTCATGTAGATTCATGAATGGGACCAACCCTAGCTTTGCTGCCCAGAAACATTGGACATATCATGCATACATACGCCCTGCACGGATGGCTTGCCGTCGTCTGCGAGGCCAATTTCGTCACGCATCCTATGTGTGTTGCGTTCCACAAACATCGTAGTTGCCTCTCAAAAACTATGAGGTCCAGCAATGTTGGGACATTTTGTTCATTGGATGAATTGGCGAATTTAAGCAATGTTCAAAGTGAGCGAGTCAAATTATTGGCCATTGGAAATGGAAAGTGAGCGAATGTTCTATCTTGCAGCTTACGAGCTGTGCGGAGTCGCATCTGTCAAGCCTGAAGCAAATCAGGCTTCCTGAAAGGAAGCATGCCAAACGCTGTCTTTTTTCATCAATTAATCAGTGGAAAGTGAGGTATGTTGTAGGCGTTGTTGGTCTTGGTGGAAACCCTGTAAACGACAAACAAAGAGAGATCACTTTCTGCCAACTACAGATGTGGTATACTCTCCTTTAACTCTCCGTAGGACAGTCTAGAATAACCCTCTAAGAGCCTTTTTTTTAATGTATGGCAAGCTTCATTCCCATATTCCCTACTTCAAGGGGCATTGTACGTCAGGTAAGTGGGCAAAAACCATAGTTATAAGTCTCCGTTCAGTGGGTTTTAACCAGGCTTCATAACCTGCAGATCCCCCGCTAAAAAATTAACTTTTAGTGAGTTAAATGGAAACTACCACTAAACACTAAGAGGCCAAAAGGCTAAGGAACCGGATGGCTGGGAGCCACCAAGTAACCACTAAGCACGACCCGCATCGCCCCTTTAAGTCGGAGCAAGCGCAAAGGCCAAGCCGCCCCTGCCCTGATCTCGTAGCCCCCAGACCTTCTGGAGGCCGTGAACCGCTGCGCGGGGTCGTGGTCGTCGCAGAGACGGAACTGGAGCTCCAGCCCCCCGCCATCCCCGGCGTCCCCCTGCTTGGTGCCTGGAAGGCGCTCGGCCAAACACAGCTGGTGGCACTTGTGAAAATGCTACCCTGCCACCGACTAACATGGAAGCGCACAGACCCCTGTAGAAAGACTACTTTCCTCTTGAAAAGGGGCTTTGTGCACTTCCATGTTACTTGGTGGGAGGGTAAATAGGTACTGCTTGCAGATTAGCGAATAAATCGGCAACACAACCAGTAATCGTAATTATGCCATGTGAGCGGCTGAACAATGATATTATCTTCCGCAATGCCTTTTTTACGCTTTCAGGCTTGCAAATCGCACCTTTTCAGTGCAAATGCAGTACGCCGAGCACACTTTGGCAGCATCACAATTCATTTTGAGTTGGGATACGTTCTGGACTCACTTTGGATTGTTGCTTGCACATGCCCTGAAGACAGCTGCACAACAAGCCACTGCGTCAGTGATATCGTTTCATCTCATTGTGCATGGTTTCTACAACACTATATCGCTCTGATCTTAAAATTTGGGTGGGGGCCTTGTTTCACAACAAAGTCTCAACTTTTTAGGGTATTTGGACAGAGTGAATACATATATATATATATATATGCACCCCCCCCCATGGACCCTGGTTTTGCTGCCTTTTGGGGATGGCAAATCTAGAATGTCCAAATTCATATTCTCGAAATGTTCAATTGTGGGTCCCCAAAGCGTGATAATTTGGAGCCCGGAGTCCTCCACAATGTCCCAGTATGATACCCTTTGCAAATAAGATGTTACTTCAACTAGAATTGGAATATTGAATGTAGTTTAGTATGGATATAGTTTTCAAAAATGTGTTTATGTTCAATTACAGCTTAAACAAGCAAATCCTTTCCAAATAGCAGCTACATGAAAATGTAAATATATATGTTCGGCTAAACTCCAACTAATCTATAACACAAGAAGTTAGATGGAAGTGTTTTCCCAAATATAGTCCAAGTGGTAAATATAATCTAAGACGAACACAACTCAATTTGCTTTTGATAATATCAAGTGAATAGAGACTACATCTCAAATATAATTCATATTTCATATGGCTAAACATTTGGAAATTCAAAATAGGATTTGTGTTATTTACATTCTGGCCCTTTTGTAGCATAAGAAAGGTCCGACATTGAACTTGTTAGACGGTGTTCCAACTGGAAATTTCAAGGGAAGAGAGGTTCAAAATCTAAAACTATCTCGAAACAGGGATTCTAGCTAAACCGTTGTATTTAAAGTTCTATTTGCACAGGAAACTTAATTCTACCTCAAAAGGTGGAGGTAGTAGATGAGCAAATGTGGACAGGTAGTTGAAGAGGGTGGGGGACGGTGTGTGAACGTACATACATATGTATATCTATATATACACATACATACACACATATATATAGTAGCCCCAATGATCCTGCGCCTCCTCATAAAATACTGGAAAATACAGTATTTTTGAGCGTTGCACCTGCCTTTGTTTACCTCCTGGAAAGGGGTCAACATGAGCATAGCTGACATGAAGCTCACCAAAAGCACTTGAAAGTTTGTCTAACTAATAACTTGAAAGTGTGTCCCCTGGATCGCTAAGCACTTGAAAATTTGCTACTATCGGATGGAAGATTCAATATTGAAGGTTACACAGAACACTTTCCTGAGAATTGTCGATCCTGGCCAAACCCAAATAGCATTCAAGTTCTTCTAACACTTGAAAGTGCTTTACCACTGGATTGGGGATTCAATATTGAGGAGCCCACAAACCACCACTTTCCTGAGAATCTTCCATCCTGGTCAACCCCTAAACTGTTCAAGTTGTTCTATCACCTCGAACATCCGTTACCACTGGATTGAACTATTTCACGGAAACCTTCTCCGAGAATCTTATTGAACACCGAGAGTATTGGGACAACCCTGGAATTTTTAAACTTTTAAAAAAATATGGGATTCAAGATTCAAGATTCAAGATTCCCAGAAAATATTTTCTCAGATTCTTGAATCTTGAATCTTGAATCCAGAATTTTTAAAAACTTTTAAAAATTCTGGGATTCAAGATTCAAGATTCAAGATTCCCAGAAAATATTTTCTCACATTCTTGAATCTTGAATCTTGAATCCCAGAATTTTTAATAATTTTTAAAAATGTCTGAGTTGTTCTTGTATTCTTGGATGCATTCAAACTCTTTCAGATTGCAGGTGCTGATGTCATTGCTTTTTATCACATCTGTATGCATGCATGCGTATCATATACATGTATGACCCTCCCCCCAATTTTGACACAAATCCAAGAAGCAAAAAGAAGCATAAAACACTGGAAAATACAGGTCAACCGCACCAAACCAGGGTCCATGGGGGGGGTACCATATGTATATATATATATATATATGTATGAACATATATTCAATTGATGCATAATTGATCCGCCACTCGTGTGATCTTCTGCCGAAGCTACGTTGCAAGCACATCCAAATCAAGATACTTTTTTGGATGAGCGCCTTTCCCGAGTCTGGAGCACCTAATGCGTTGCGTCTTTCATGGAGTGTTTTTTGCGCCCAGAATCCAGCTAAAAGCTAAGACTCACGTTGCTGTCGTTTTGAGTTATCACCGTGCTGTACATGCCTTGGATTTTGAATCTTCACTGCTCGAACCTGCATGCATCTTGCCGGCAGGGACAATAGGAATGCTCCACCCAGTGAAGAACTGACTACTCATGTGCTTGCATGAACTCTTTCCGACTGCGTGATTGGACATGGGTAACATCAATCGGTCGGTTCGCTTTGGGCACGTGACACACGATTCAAGTTCGGCCGGGTTGTACGAACAAACAACACAGTATCTTGTTTGCTTTACTTTTACCCACCACATAAATGCAGCACATATCCCAACACTGCCCCACCCAATGCTCCCAGCTACTGCTACAGTAGGTGACCATCAAATAGTCTTGCTAGAGAGATGGAAGACTTGCCCTAGGCCAACACAGCCACTTGCCAAAAGGAAACGGAAACAAGCTGACTTTGTGGCACTGCAAGCGGAAGAGTGAAACACAACTGGAAAACTGAATGGGAAGCATTGGGCTAGGCAGCAATGCTGTCACGTAGCCGGCTTCCTTCTAGTGCTCCCTTCAAGCATCACACATCAGGGATCTCACTGAAAAATGTCGAGCAACAGCTGATGTGTCAAACAGCTTGACATGTTTGGTGCTTTTGCAATATGGATGGACACATTTACAGTAATGTCGACCCCACGTCAATCAACCCCAGTTTCAATAGGGGGTGTCCCCAGGTGAGATGTGCGGAATCAGACCACTTTTGGATGGGCCCAAAACCACCCCCTAATAAACTGGTTGGTTGAATATATAGTATTTGGGCTGCCCTCAGATTCCCCGCTAAAAGCTTAGCTTTTAGTGGGTTAAATGGAAACTGCCACTAAACACTAAAAAGCTAAAAGGCTAAGGAACCGGATGGCTGGGGGCCACCAAGGTATGGGGTCAACAAAAATATTGAATTCTATTTGAAATCTCTTGGCCGCTGCCCCGCCCATCTGCCCATCCCCATCCGCCTGCGGCTGCACATCCGCCGCCCTCCTCCCTGCTGCGCAGGATGAAGGTCCTGCCACGGATGCCAGGCCCTGTCGTGAGTATGGTGATGAACAAGGCAATGTATGGTTGGTTGGTTTGCGGTCCCTATGGACAGCTTGTGGGCACAAGCAAAAACGGCAACAACACCGCCACGAAAGGGCAGGTGCAGGTGGGGCCCACGACACGGGGCCAGCAGCAAAGATAAATATAAGCATGGATATCAATGAGACATACAATCCCACAGAATTCCCGATTATGGACATATGCTGAAGGATCATTTTTAGTCAAAGATCAGCCCACCTATTTTGAAACAACAAACCTTGACTATCCCTCTTTGGGAAAGCAAAGATATTCCCTCTTTCAACGGAGCGTCTGAAAATCAGGCCCCGACCGCGTCCCCAGTTTTCACAACAACACACTGGGGTGCGCTTTTTTGTTGGTCCCATTTTTGTGGTTTTACAGTGAAACCAGCAGGAAACAAACACATCCATTCCCCTCCCCCAACCCCCCCTCCCCTAAAATCACCCAAAAGACACACAAAGACGCAACCCGACCTCACAGCCCCCCCCCCCCCCCAGAGGGCAACCTGTCCTCGGCACGCCTGGCGACAGCATCTCCCCCAGAGGCTCCACTGCAGCGCTACACACATCCGGGGGCTTGACGACAGCATTGCCCACCTTGCTCGCCTAGCACGACACCCATGGGATGGTTGGCAGATTCTAAGGTTTATGTGAAGCCATGCATGAACTCATACATCAACCCATGGTTCCACGGTCATGTGGGGCCCCTTTACATGAGTCATGTATGGCTCGGACTTTACCAACCTTCACTTCCTTGAATTTGTTTTGAGCAAGTGGCTCACGTGAAGCCATACATCAACCCATACCATCTTGGGCCCCTTGTGTGGTTTCCCAGCTTCTAAATGGTTCACTCACCCACGCAAGCTGGTTATAATCACAAGCAGCTCGCAAATTCATTGCTGCAACCGTTGAGAAAGCCACGATGGTGCTGAGGTCATGCGGCTCTCGCACTGCCTACCAACCATGTTTCGAACACTGCAGGTGAGCAAAGCAACAGACAAGAGGCTTCATCCCGATACCTTCTGTGATATCAGGTAAAGAGTGCGGTAGACACATTGCCACTTCAAAGTCGATCCACGTTTGACCTCAAATTCACGTTGGCCCTTTGGGATGGCTTGACTGTCTTTAGAGAATGCAGCTTCCTTTGCCAAGTGACCTGCAGCAAGCCCCCAACGCACACATATATGCAGGTCCATGAGAGGATTCCTTCGGGGTCCATGCTTAGAAAGGAATTGCCCGTGCTGAGTCACATTTGTTGCACAATATATAGTCATGCAGCACGGCTTCCCCCTTTCTGCCACTGCCAAGTGTATCAAGTGCAAACTCCGCATCTGTTGTCTATTCACCAGGGAAACGCTTCAGATCGCTTCTCATCTGCATGCCGCTGACTGACAAGAGGTGCCACATCCCATGACCCTTACTCTTCTGACTTGGAGTAGGGTCGGAAATGTATTGGACCTAGCCCCATCACGGGGGTACAATCGTCAATCGTTTTCTGAGGCCGGATGGCTTGTATGGCCGTCTCTGAGGAGAAAAGGGTTCCGGAACTAAAGGCCGGCAATCATTTGTGATTTGCCAAGGATATGCCTGGGAAGGATGTATCCTTGTCCAAGAAGCCTCTGCGAAGGCAGGGCAGCAGGGTCAGAACAAGCAACTTTGCGGGGCACTGGAATCGACATGTTTGATGACATGCTTGATCCAAAGGTAACTGGCCGACGACTGCACTGATTGCTTTTGCTGGATTGGGCCCTCCCAAAAAATATTGGTGCTGATTTAAACCAAATCGAGATTTATCGCCCATAATAGCAAGCTGATCAGGTGCTGAATCAGCTGTCACCTCTGATGCCCGCATACACGTTTTACAGAGGCAGTTGGCCTTTTTTTCGGCACAAAAACGGGCGGATGTCCTGATGCCCGCGATGCCTCGCATCGATGCGAGGCATCGAGCATTTCGGCGGACCCCGCGCGCCGCGCCTGCGGGGCCAAGCATCCGCCAGCGCCGGACCAGGAGCCTTGCCAGTTCCACAAAAGTTGGCCATCCTCGCTGAGCTGCACCTTCCTCAGGCTGGAACAATGCGATTCGCTTGTGCTGTGCGATGAGAAAAATGCGACTCGCTTGTGCTTTGAGCTTGGGTCTCCCCAAATGAAGTCAATTCCATACACTGAACGATCTCCGGGTTGTTTCCTTTTGGCTTCCCTTAAAAAGCAGCAGCCAACGTCCACCGTTCTTGAGCAACTCCCATTTCCCATCGCTGAGCCATCCATCGCCTTCGGAAAATGCACTGACCGGATGCCGCTGTAAGTGTCTAAAGCTGTGAAGAAGGGGATGGATGTGGGTCAAAACCAATGGTATAATTTTGGGGTAGGTGCACCACCACTTTAGAACCTATTTTAGTGGTTGGATTGGGATGTTCACTGGGGGTACGAGGAGGGCCTTCATAGGTATCAATCTCCGAGGAAAGGATGGTAAAGTTCTGCTCTTGATGCTTTATTCAGGCAATGTGCGGCGGGCTCCTCATGACTCAGTCAAGCTCTTGCGAATGAAACTCAAAGGGACGTGCTGAATGATGATAGGGAAGCAACGATAGGCGAGACAATTCAGGGCAATGACTTTTCAATCTGGAGCTCGTGCAAGGAAACTCAGTGCTGTTGCAGGTTCGATTACGGCGGCTCACATTGAGCAAACAAGAACGTCAACCGGTAACCGGACTGTACGCACCGCACCAATGTGAGTTGCTCTGACGAGCAGGATCAAAATCCATCAACGCCTGAGCTAAGCAGTGTCTGCCTCGATGCTTTGACGCCTACAGTAATTGCCTAGCTTGACAGCAATCAATGTGGATGCCTTAGACTACACAAACCAAAAAAGTGATTGTCGAGAAAGCGGCTATCAAGCACCCGACACTTCCAGCGGTCACAAACGAAATGTGAAATTTCGGCAAAGAAGCACGGAAACTCATGGAAATGGGCGTCACGAGAAGCAATACTTGTACTTATCTGAATCTGGAAAACACTCCGCCACAATTTGGGAATGGCCCTCCCATGCTCTCCCACCGCAAAGCCAAAAACAAAAAACATTCAGCGCAAACATTCGCTACTTGACATTGATTTTTCTGTTATTTCCCCAGTCCACCCTGTTGGCCTCTCCTGCGAGCGTCTGATGACCGGAGGCGCCCCCAATCTCGCACTCGAAGGTCCGAGCCTGCATGCCAAGGCTCCTGGGCTGGGGGGCGCTTGTGAATTTGCACTTGTGGGGCTGGGCACTGATGCAAGGCTGTCACCGAGTTACGTGCAATCTAGTGATGTTTCTCCATAGCCGTCAGGCAAGCGTGGAAGTCATTTAGCTGCGGCATCTTTGAGTCACTCTTCAAACAATAGTGCAAGATGTGTGCAGCCGCTGACATCTGATTTTAGTCATGCTAGAAATCAATCAAAGGCTACCACGCATGTCCAACATCTGCAGCCTATATGTTTTAAATGTGCCTCGACTTGCCCAATCTTCATAGTCCCTTCCCCGTAAGAATAACCCCCCCCCCGAATTAAAAAGATCCCTCCCGGCAAAACACTTTCTATTATTCGGAGTCCCCTGGTTCTGAAGGGCAGGTTTTGGAGGCACCTCTTGTTCTTTGTAAAGCTTGTCTGCGACTTTGTAGTGCGACTGTAGTGAAGGAAACAAACTCCCGCAGCTCTGGCTTGAAAGTCACAACTTTGTAGTACGACCGCAGCAAAGCAAACGTACTCCCGGGTCCCCCTAATAGGGCTGGATTTGAATACGGGCAGGAAAATGCCTACTTTAGAATGAGTTTAGTATTGGCTATTCTAAAAGTAGTATTCCCGGATTTGGGACTTCCGAAACATGTTGTTTTTCCTCTTTTTTTTAAGGGAGACTTTATTCATAGGGGGAACGGATTATTGGTTTGCAAACCAAGTACGTGGTTCTTGGCCACTTTCCGGGAGTGTCATGATACACAACATGTTCAACCAGGCCTCTTGTCCTGAAAAATGAGTCATTTGGGGAGGGAGCATCCCGTGGGGAAGATTGAAGAGGTGTTGATTGCAAGCTCCTGGGCTCTTATGTGCTGAACGCGTGGCCTACTCAAACTCCATACCCTCAGGTTCTGTGTTTGTTGAACGCGTCGCAGCACGTCACAAGTGACATCGAAATACATGTGTCAGCGCCTTAAACCAAGCCTGAGACAGAAACAACCCTTCGATGCAAGCATGCATGTTCCTACCTTTACAAAGGCCCTTTAAACCGGGTGATGTTCTTATGTGCTTGTTAAACACCCGCTGGCTGTTCGAGCTTCAGCTTAGCGCCACATGGATTGAAAGGGAAACATACTCGGCACGTTCAACGGACAAAGCTTTGCTGCGGACAGGTAAGTGCAGGTGCACGTACGGCAGATGCCCAGTTTGTTTCCCAGTGGTCTCGGCAATAAACAACAAAAAGTCGCTATGCGCGAAAAATATTGGCCACATTATTCTACCATGATCAAAGTCACCCCCTAAGTGATGGGTTAAAGGGAAACAACCCCAGTTTCTGACTTTGCAAATCCCTAGAAACGGTCAAAATAATGACCCCAGAAATGTTGTACGAGTCGTCTAAAGTCTGAAGCCCTTCTGCAGCACCCGGAAGAACTCGGGCAGTGGGCCGTTGACAATCACACATATTTTCCCAAACCATATCTGCTTGGTTGACGTTGGAAGGGGAGCAAAAAAATAAATTTCAGCAGTTAAGTGGGGATTTCCCACTCAAACCACAACAAGCAAAAATGTAAAATGTTTCCCAACAACAACCATGTCTGCAATCCATTGATTGGGTTCCTTAGCTGCATTGTCGACCAATTGAGTTGTGAATAATTTGCCATTGTCACACATCGCTTGAGCAGGCTATTCCTGGATACCTGCCTCAACAGGCCGCCAGTACAAACAACCAAAGGGTTTGAGGAAAGCGAACATTTTCTAGAGGACATATCTATACGAACCCCAAGGAAATATATGTCCGATTTTTTGAAATCAGACTCCAAAACCCAAACAGACTCCACCATATCAAGTGGTTATGTAGATATTGACCTTTACTTGAGCCATGTCAGGTGGACATATGTGCGAAGGGACAAAGATTCTACGAAGTTCTGCAGACTGACGTCTTTCACTATCCTTTGCGTTAGCCTCCCGTGCTTTCCTCGACAATTGCACTTGCACAACACATGACTGTGTGTGGGTGTGTGTGTGTGTGTCTGTCTCCGCGTGTGGAATTCTATGTTCACATTTGCGAACAGAAGAAAACAACTTGTGCCAGTACCAGCTGAACAAGTAGAAGTTCAACGAACAAAATCGTGAATGTCAAACATCCATGGTGACATGACACCAACTACACGTGGTTGGCATACCCGGATCAAAATGGGAATGCCAAACTTCCCATTTGTGCCATCCATCCGTACGATTCAGAACAGGGCTCTGGGAAATGACCACTTCTGTGATACAACAAAAAGGGCTTCCCAAAGACTAACCCCCCATATAAAGGGGGAGATTCCCTAAGGTATCACAGAAGTGGTTGGAAAAACCCCTCGATCCCACAACCCGGATTCACCAACTACCCCAACGACACCAATGATGGGCACCAGATCAACCGGGGCTCTGCGCGTCTAAGCACTGAAGGAAGTTCCAGTGCATGATGCCGCTACAGCAAGGCTTGCCGCGCCTGCCGGTCTTTGGCTCGCTGAGCCCTCCAAGGTGTCAAGGTGTGGAGAAGGGACTAAAACCTGAGTAACCCTAGCTCTTGATTTCTGAGCCACAGGCTTGTGGTTGATCACTCGGGGTCTATCCGACCACTTGACCACTTCTGTGGGAATCTCCCCCTTAAAAGGGGGGGCCCTTTTTGGCAAGCCCTTTGTTGTAGCACAGCAGTGGTCGCTTCCCACAGCCCTGCTTCCGAAGGAAGCTTCTTTCTTGAAGGAATGTGTTTCAGATTCCGTGTTCGTTTCTGGATGAACGATTTGAATCGCCCAGCAGCAATCAACAGCCAAAAACAATGTGCGACGATGAGACAGCCTGCAGAATGTCATCTTGCTTGGTGCCACACATGTTGTTTTTTTTGTTTTCTTTTCTGGAAGGGAAAAAGGACCACTTACGTCTTACAATAAACATTTCATGAGCACGGCATTCTCCCTAATTGCGTGAAGCTGTCACCACGTGCCCAGGACCTAAACTCTGCACGACGCAAGATCACTGAAACTCCAGCAGAAAGAAATGCTTACCCACTGAGCTCCCGCGAGTCCCGATCCTAACCTCGCCAAACATGCGCACCAAGCGGGGTGCAACAAACAGCGCACTCACACGCCATTGCGCAAACAGAGTCCTGGAAATCAGCGTTGCCCCCCCCCCTGCCAAAGAAAAACAACATTGTAAACAAAAAAATGTAGCGCATCTCGTGGGGGAAGATTCACCCACCCGTCAGAGGCTCAGGCCTGGAGGTGTCCCGATTGCCGCGGTGGAAGAGCTGCAGCTCCGAGCTCTGGTGACTGTCGTGGGGCCCCGCGCAGGGCGCCAGCACCTTGCTGCAAGGACCCCCCCTGCAAAAAGCGAATCACTTTTTGGGGGGGGGGGGGGGGTTAGGTTAGTGGAAAACGCAATCACTTTTTGGGGGGTTTAGTGGAAAACGCAACTTGATGTTCCAAATTCCAAAGACTTAAAGTCTAAAGATCCAATAGCGGTCAAGGCACCACGTTGTGGGGCTGCCGCTCGTTGCGGCTCACCTCCATGCACAGACCTGCCCGCTCTGGCGCTGGCGCGCTTGGCGCTGGGGGAGGGGGGTGGTGCGGTTTTGAGGGACAGTTTGAACAGAGGTGGTTTGGTAAAACACGAGGGTGTTGGGAACCTGACATCGCAAAGGGATGCTCCATGCGGATATCTGAACTCAATCAGGCCAAGATCGCGTGGCTCGCTCAGTACGTGTGTGTGTGTGTGTGTGTGTGTGTGTGTGTGTGTTTCTGTGTGTGTGTTTCTGTGTGTGTGTGTTTCTGTGTGTGTGTTTCTGTGTGTGTGTGTGTGTGTTTCTGTGTGTGTGTGTGTGTTTCTGTGTGTGTGTTTCTGTGTGTGTGTGTTTCTGTGTGTGTGTGTGTGTTTCTGTGTGTGTGTGTGTTTCTGTGTGTGTGTGTGTGTGTCTGTGTGTGTGTGTGTTTCTGTGTGTGTGTGTGTTTCTGTGTGTGTGTGTTTCTGTGTGTGTGTGTGTTTCTGTGTGTGTGTGTTTCTGTGTGTGTGTGTGTGTTTCTGTGTGTGTGTGTTTCTGTGTGTGTGTGTGTGTGTTTCTGTGTGTGTGTGTTTCTGTGTGTGTGTGTGTTTCTGTGTGTGTGTGTGTTTCTGTGTGTGTGTGTGTGTTTCTGTGTGTGTGTGTGCTTCTGTGTGTGTGTGTGTGTTTCTGTGTGTGTGTGTTTCTGTGTGTGTGTGTGTGTGTGTGTGTGTGTTTCTGTGTGTGTGTGTGTGTGTGTGTGTTTCTGTGTGTGTGTGTGTTTCTGTGTGTGTGTGTGTGTGTGTGTGTGTGTGTGTGTGTGTGTGTGTGTGTGTGTGTGTGTGTGTGTGTGTGTGTGTGTGTGTGTGTGTGTGTGTGTGTGTGTGTGTGTGTGTGTGTGTGTGTGTGTGTGTGTGTGTGTGTGTGTGTGTGTGTGTGTGTGTGTGTGTGTGTGTGTGTGTGTGTGTGTGTGTGTGTGTGTGTGTGTGTGTGTGTGTGTGTGTGTGTGTGTGTATGTGTGTGTGTGTGTGTGTATGTGTGTGTGCGTGTGTGTTTCTGTGTGTGTGTGTGTTTCTGTGTGTGTGTGTGTGTTTCTGTGTGTGTGTGTGTGTTTCTGTGTGTGTGTGTGTTTCTGTGTGTGTGTGTGTGTAGGACGTTAACTAGGAATACGGCCCTGCAAACACACATTCTCAAAGATTCCCAAGTGGACGAACACAAACACACGCTATTTCTGGCCAATCTATGACCTTTCCTGGTCTTGGTTGGATCCGGTAAAAGAACAGCCAGGATCTTTGTGGGGTTGGTGCTTGCATGCAACAGCATGCATCAAAGTGTTGGACATATCATGCTATCAGGTGCTCTAAGTTGGACTGCTTGTAATTCTTGAACTCGCGATGAACAGTAACACGCTTGGAGCATATTACAGTTGCATGAACCGTTCTAATTGTATGCTATAATATTCACCTCATGCAGAGTTCCTGCCATTTGAATAGTACTGTATCTGTGATACTATTCACATACGTTTCTATCATGAAGGCTGGGGGGAGGGAGGGGGGGAGGGAGCCCCCGTTATTAAGCCCTTACTAAGGGCTAATTTAGGCTCTGATCTTTCTTTGTCTGGGGTAGTCCTTCCCTTCGTGGCTCAGTCCCGCGCACGGACCAGCTCGGAAATAAGCACAATCCCCAAGGCCGCAACTGCTGTCGGGAGCGCTGGGTAAAGTCTGTGACCCCCCTGTTTCAACAAAGAGACAAGTGAAACATTCACAAAATGCAGAGCTTATCATAGAATCATCCCCAGCTCTGAGAACAAATGAGTGTGTCTTTGGGCTGTGCCCTTTGGTTTCCCTTAGAGCCCCTAAAACAAGGGACAGCCTCAAAAAAAGCCACGCCCAAATAATGGTCACAACATTATTGGAGAACCCGTTGGAGCTGGCTGAATGGGACTGACCTCACCCCAAAACACATCTTGGGCTCACGGCCCGCCATCAACCCCAGCGCCTGATTTCGTCTCCCGGAGCTGAAAGACTTGGTCAGGTATCAGCCCCCCATCGAAGTAGATGTAGGAGAATCGGTCCAGGTAGCCTCCCGAAAGTCCAGATGTGGCGTTTTTAGCGTCCCAAAATGGGAAAAATGTGCCTGGGATAGGTTTAAAACCAATCAGGAATCCAGCCATTTCAAGTCGATCCCCCGCTTGCAAGCACGGGACTATGTTGGGGTATTCTACATGCCTCCAATCATCTGTCATTGTTCCCACGTAAAAGAAACCGACAGGGGATGAAACTTGATCAGTTTGTCGGGACCCTCTAATTCCCGCTACCAACAGCAGCAATCAATCAAAGGATAAAGGCGCAAGTATCAGACGAAACTGGGGATCGCTAAAACAAGCAAATCAGAGATGTTGTCAATTTCCACAACATTGGCCAAAAAAATGTGTTCACCCTAGCTGACAACAAAAAAGGCAAAGCCGGTGGGCCATAGCTTGGGCTTGACACATGGGTGATGGCGTTCCTTACCAACCTCTCAAACTATTTCCTCTCAAGTGGCTTGTGGCTCTATCACTGGCAAACCGAAGCTCACGCTTCGCTACAGTGGGGGGGGTCACTAGTCACTACTCTGCTAGGCAAGCAGGCGTTTAATATCATTGCTTTTCTTGGATGTCAACTGGAAGCAGCTATTCAATCCATCCTCCTGACCCGTGTGGCAAAGGTCGAACACATGAATCATGTCTCAGTGCATGGGAACCCCGCGTCAAAGTCGCCCAAGAAACGGGCATGGAAGTATGCCATGTCCTCATGTAAAAACATGTTCGCTGAAGGGTCCATGTCCAATTCAAGGATGAACACACGGGTCGATCCTTCATGATAAATAACCCATAGTCGTATGGGTCCAGAAAAAATAAAATAACGAAAAAACAACATGGGGATTGTATGGGTCCATACCGTCCCATTTCCGTCACCTTAAATCATTTTTCCTCTTTCTCGCGCGTTCGAGTGGCTGGTAAAGGGCGCGCAGCCCAGCTTCTTCTTGAGCTTCTCGAATTCCCCCATGTCCCCGATGCTCTCACCCTGCTTGGTGAACATCTCGTACTCGGGGAAGGTCATAACCTCAACGCCGCGAGAAAAAACATCGCGCGGGGCGGCGCGGTGTGGCGCTGGTGGCTTTTGGGATCATTGGGGGTGACGATTGAAGCGGAACTCACCGCAAGACCCCCAAGTGAAGACAAAGTAGTGGCCCGAAAAAGTGGCCAGACACTTCTCCATTTTGGGGTTTCAGGTCCATAAAGTAGACCAAAACAGAGAAACACACATGTAAATTCACTTGGATGTGGCTCAACTGGGCACCTTGGAGTTAAGCTCCAGGCTTGGGAAAGGGGGTACAAGTACCATCCAGGTAGCAACTTGTGTGTTTGGGGGGATGATCCTGGTGAAATCACCGTTAAAATGGGCCGGTCTTGCCACCTCCCCCTGTGGGTACCGAGGTACCGAGGTGCTTTGCAACCCTAAGCGAAACGAAGTGCTTTGAAAGCGAACCGTGGAACCAACGTGTAGGCAAAAGGAGACCAAGGACTCCATGGGAGCCGTGTTCGCAGCAAGAAGTCTGCCAGGACCCGGTCGATAAATTTAAGCTGGAAAGAGTTGCACGGTCCTCATCCAAGGACAATCAAGCAGCAAAGCTGGGTCATCTACAGTGGCAGAGAGCTCATGAGGCAATGCGCCCAATTTGGCCAATCTAAGTCAACCCTCGTCCAAGAATCTAAACTCTGAGCGTCTTGTCTCTGTTGTATCATTCCGTGTCACAAGAAATAAGGGTCAGCTTCATCACCCACTCCTTCTCCCTGCTTGTGTTTGTTTTTCCCATTTTTTTCATCAGACAACTGGAAACTCGGAGGCTGCCAGGAGAAAGCCAGCACCGAAAGGCAACCAAACACCATTCAAGCAAAACTGACGCGGGCAACGCCAGCCAAGGAAGACAAGAGAAGGGGAAGTGTAGACCAAAACAACTGGAGAGAAGAAATTCTATGAAACCGCCGGCAAACCGAAAGGATGCCAGGAGGTGTGTTCATTAAACAGACGCGCCAATGAATCATCTGTGCCACGGTCAACACTTCATATGTGGACACCTGATCCTGTTATAAATTCTCGATCAGGAGCCTTGCATGTTGTTTAAACCTGGAATCGCATGTCCGTACCGGGGCACACAGGACACGTAACCCGACAAAACAAGTATTGACAATAGCTACTCAATAGGAAACCAACCCCAAAACACAACTGCAAGTCTGCAAGTGCAGACAAAAAGGAAAAAGGGGAGGAGCAAAAGTCCACGGCCTGCTGCCCTTTCAAGGCCGTGCCTTCTCCACGAACTCGCCGAACCACGCATTGGCAGCGCGGGCCTTGTTCCGCATCACGTCTTTGGTGGGGATGGGATACCGTAGAACCTCGGCCCCAAACCGCTCACAACTCTGCCCTGGGGTGGGGGGGAGGTTCAGCGTTTCCAGCATGGGGGCTTTGAGGTTGTTTTGGAGGGGCTCGTTTCCAACATAAGATTGATGCCCCAAACCCCTCCCAAGCCTTATCTCAAGGCGGGTCTCAAAACAGGGGCACTGCAACGTGTGCAGTGTGGGTTTCTGCTGGGCAGCTTGTCGAAATTCTTTGCCAACCCAAAAGGGGCATCCCCCCTCCGGAAACCAAACAGGCAGCTCAGGCAGAGACCAGCTGGAACAGAACTCAACCAAAGGGAGGAATTTGACTCACTGGGAAAATGAGGGCGGGGGGGGGTCAACCACCGGGTTCCTTATGTTCTATACCCTATTTTCACACTTCAATCGTCCCAAGTTGATCTTAAAAACTGATCAGAAGCACACACGGATATGACTTCCAAGTCCCTTGGATGGACATCACTTCCCTAGAAATTTACGTCCCCCCCCCCCCATTTTCCACGTTTTTTTGGCGGATGTTTTACTCCAACTCCTTGACTCCTATCCCCGGAATTTCGCTGACTCGGAGACCCGCGTCATTCGTCTCTTCAGTACATGTGTTAAAATAGGGAACCCAAATGGATTCCGGTTCTTGTGTTTTCCCTTTAAACGAAGCCGAAAATGGTACCCTCCCAAACACAAACCCCTACCCAGAGGCTTCTGGGGCTTTCAATGGAAGACCCGACCCCCATCAAACACCCCGCTTCGGTGTTTGGGGGTCTCAAAACCCGGCTGTTTGAGGGCCCTAAATTGATCGAATGGGAGCGTCTGGGTCGACTGCACTCCGCGGCCGCGGGGCCGTCTTTGGGTTCTTCGGGTCCCGCCACATGTGGGCCACGTAGGCGCCCTCCGCCACCTCGATGCGGCCCCCGCAGAGCCAACTCCGCAGGGACTGGTCGATGTTCCTCGACTGGGAAAAAACCAAACAACAAGAGAAGGAAACATAAACAACAACCAAAAACAACAACCACAAAAAACAAAAACTATGCTGCTTTGATCAATAATGCGTCCCAAAGTCGGAAAAAAATGTTCCTTGTCAGTTTGAGAGGAAATGCGTCCCAAAGTCGGAAGAATAGGGTCCAAAGCACGGGGTGCCTATCAAGCTCCATATTTGTTATTGGTACAACCCAGGGGGTCCCTTCAGGTTCCATAGTTGTTGTCTTTTTGGGGGAGAGGGTATCTGTTGCGTTACACTCCCTGAAGCTGAGGGGGGGGTGTCCGTTTAAAAGCGAAATGGTCTTCCAGGGAGGCTTTCCTCAGGTGCCATGTTGGTGGGAGGAGGGTATCGGTTGGCACCCTCTCTAACATGGCGCTTGATAGGAAGTTCCTTGAGGAAATTGGTCTTCCAGGCACACAACAAAAGAAGGAACTTGAGAAACCCGGGTTCTTGGTGGCCATGTTCGAATGGAACATTTGAAGCAATCCAACACAACATGACCGCCATTGAACAAACTAGGACATGAAGCTGGATTGTATGTAGTAGCCGTTGCTTCGCTCCCCAAGACCAACGAGTCCCTCGGTTGCTTCGTTGGTAGTAAACTGAGAAGCCAGCCGTGCAAAGAGGCTTGCACGGACAGTTATTTGTGTGTGTGCGTGTTCACGACGGAGGCTCGAAAATGAGTTGGTTTAAGAAGCAAAGCGTCCCGGAAGGGTGCGCAAATGCGTTGCTGTGAGATCAGCAAGGGTCTCGTCTAGCCAGTTGTCTGAAAGCAAAAGGGACAAGGGTGGTTTCTAAGACATGAAGCTAAGGGTTCAAAAAAAATGCGTAAGTTGGCGTCATAAGAACAATCATATAAGTGATAAGACCGACACTGCAAATAATAACAATAACAGTGATAGTAACAACAATATTGCTACAAGCATAATTATAGTCAACATAATGTGCTTGACAACAAAGAACACAATAATAATAGTACTAAATACTACAACAATAACATTAATATTAAATATTCTTAATAATAGTAACTTGATCATGATAGGAGCCATCATACATAAGCATAACAAGTACACAAACAGTGATCATAACAACGATCACACCAATAGCAACAATAATGACACCACACATATCGATACTAACAACAACAATACTAAGAACTGTTTTATTGCTGTAACAACAACCATACTAGCAACATTTTTTAATAACAACTGGGGGTTGCTGCTTGACCCACAAGCAAAGTAGAGTGGTTTCCAACGGCCCCCAGAGAACACTCTGGAAACAGTTTCCCATAGGGTTCAGCTGGGTGAGGTTGCTTAACACCCTGAATGGTCCAACAAACTGGGGTGCATCGCAGCTCGTGTATGTTCTTGTCCTATCTTCAAAATCCCTTTCACCTGGCATTTGAAATGAACACCGGAATATCAGATCCACCAAACAAATTCCAGGTCCCCTCTTGTAGGACACGCCACCACCTCCTGAAAGCTTCTATGCCATGGCGCTCACCGCCCCAGGCCACCATCTTGGTATCGTAGCCTTCCGTTTCCTCCCACCAGCGCCGCGACAGCGCCAGCAGGCCCCCGCTCATCAGCGGCGCGTCCCGGCCCGGGTTGTACAACCAGGTGAAGTCGTTATTCCAAAGAATGAAGCACACCTGAGCCACATGAAACAGATGCACTTCTGCAATGGGCCAGTTCATGTGAAAGAAATCTTCAATCAATGTATGCTCACCCGATAAGATCACGTACGTAGAACTCTTCGGCACCGCTCGACTGGAAGCCATCTCCGGATTTGGTTTTGCGTCTCTGTAAATGTTTGTGACGGACAACATGAAGTTGCGTGAAACAAAGGTGCCCCGCAAATAGGTATCCCGACCAAGGCTGCAACGTGGTAAACCTGTGCTAAAGTGCTGATACATGTCGTTATGATCACCAAGTGTTGCATGTTCTAGTCACTCAAAGAATCTTTCAATACTCACTCAAAGAAGCTTTCAATCGCAGGATCCACAGAAAGCTTTGTTTCAAGACATAAGACGCATATCTGCACGCGTTCCTTGAGGCGCCTTGCCGCCGCCACCACCGGGGATCTCTTTCCAGGTGTCGGGGTTCAGAGAGGTAATGGTCGGCACCACGATGGTCCTGGAGGGTTGCTTTCTGGGATTTGTCCCCGTTTGTTCTTTACGTTGAATAGTATCTTGTTGGTTTTTGGTGTTTGTCAGTTTTTGTTGTTTGTTTTTGGTGTTGTTTGTTGTTTGCTTTCTAGTTTCTTGTTTGTGTTACCCTCCCACCCTTTTCACATGGAACCGTTCGACGTTCGGCGGGTCCTGGTTTGGACCATTCTCCTTGAAGAGGGACCCTCGGACCCTCTGTTAGGCTCCATGTCAATTGGTGGGAGGGTATTGTTGATTGTGTCTTGCTCTTCTGGTGCTGTTTGTCCTTCCCTGTTGAGAGTCAAATTGAATTATGTTTGCAACGCTGAAAGGTGGGAGTGTCCTGCAAAATAGGCATCCCCGGGGGGGTCGAAGTGGAGCCAGCTCGAAATATGTGAACCACAATCGAAGCATGGGAGTCTCCAATGGGAACAGTTGCCCGTTGGGGTTGGAGTTCAAAAGGAAATTCCATCCTAACATAAGATAGATTAGATAACCAATGTTAAATGTTAGGAAATCCTGCCAGGATGTTAGGAAACATAAAGTTGGGTTGAGGTTATCCTCAAAGTTAGGTTAACGCATTAAGCATTGTATCATCCTCATCTAGATTCCTGCCGGCGCCCTCCAAATGGCCTCTGACTGCTTACCTCTCCGCACAAAAAGCCCCTGAGAAAGCCCAGCCGCGAAAGAAATGAGTCGAAAAAAACCTTCGAGTTGATCAGCCAGCCGGACCCATCACTGTACTCAAGCCATTCTAAGCATGCTGCCATGGTGCATCAGCCAGGCTTGCTCCCTCAATGCACAGGATGAACAATTCGCCAGCAAGCAGAGCAGGCAGCAGGCCAATGTTGAGGCTGCTTTTGATTTTTCCCGGCCAAAGGCTCTGGCTCAATGCCAGGGAAGGAACACAGAGCAGTCCAACTTTTCAGCTTGCACCAACTCGGGCTGTTAACTCTGGACCCTCCCCCCTCTTGCCACTAACAGTCCCTCATGTTACTCATGTTCCCAATGATACGCCTCTATCTACAAGCCGGGCAGCATATTAGAAGCCGACACAATATTCGAAGATATGTTCAGGTAGTGCCCCCTCCCCTTGAAGGCCCCAAGAGAGCCATGAATGATGTCAGTTGCTCTCAAGGTTGAGAAAGTAATGACCCTCTGTTCGGGACCCGCTCTGGGCACCAAAAGACACCAGGGTCCAAACAAAGAACCCCTGTTTCTTGGTCAGCCCTGGGGTTCGGGGTCCCAAGCGCTAAGCCGAGTCCTGTGATCGTTCTTCCGCCGCATCTGTTTCAGGAAGGCGTGCTCCCAGCCTTTTCCTGTGCTGCTTATTGGCCAACAAACACCTCATAAATCCTCGGGGTTGCTGGCATGTTCCTTCCATCGGCCAAATAGCAAGTCGCTCTAAGGGCAAAAGCAGGTGCAGCCAGGGTTCCACTTGTTGACTACCCTCAAATGGACTTAAACCCGGGGGTGAGTCATGTACCCAAAAAGGAAACCCCTGGGTTTAAGTCTGTTGCCGGTAGTCAAAAAGTAGAACCCTGGGTGAAGCCTGTGGACTGTACTGGAAGGACTTCGGCGCTTCGGGGAACATGTGAAAACCCCCCAAACACCTGGGCCACCATTTGTGAACCCGACTGGACTGCAGGCGTTCTGCCAGGCGGGCGATCGCGCGATCGATCCTACTCAAACAGGGCCACAGTTTGCACTGGTGCATAGAGCAAAGGAAAAGCAAGACCACAACAAGATATATCAAGACATGGCTAGATGGGGATAGCTTGCAGAGGACTTTGTTGGTCCAGATCTCCCATCTACCACTCAGTTTAATGCCTAAGCGAACCTTGGAGTCTTGCAAGATGGAGAGTGCGTTCGGAGCAATACATCCATGCGCAGGCGAACCCCTACGTAGATTGGGTTGAAGCGGCGGGAACACCGAGCGGAGAATCTGGTCTGTACAAGCTGGTGGGGCCACTCAAAGGGCAACTGACGGGAGCGCACGGTCTGGTCTGTGCTATCAAGGTCGAGCCGGGTCAGCACAGCTGGCACATGCTGGCACGGTCGCAGCAGAGAAAGGAGGGCATGGAAAATAAGAACAGATTGAGAGGCGGAGCAGATTGAGAGGCGGTGGACGTCAGAATAAGTCTTACAACCCCCAACCGGCCCTAACCCGCCGCAAAAACTAGGCTCCCTTGAACAATCAGGTGGAAGGGTCAGATTCCATGTGCAGAAGCATGAGTCTCCTTATTCAGCAGTCAGATGTCATTTGTGGCTATTGCCCCTGTGCAACAAGTCAAACAGCTTGTTGGTTGGTGGGAACACACACAAACACACTTGCAATTAATTCCACGAATCTTTCGGATGTTGGGCACTTTATTTAAAGGGCGCTAGATGCAAAAGATTACAACAGCAGCCCAGTCATCACATACCGATCCAGGAGCCCCCCAAGTTTCAAGTTGACCGGCCGGAAAGGGCTTCCCATTTACCGACCACAAGAACCAGGGCTTCAGATCCAAATGCAAGCCACCAATTCGGCTCCAAGACAACCAGCGGCTGCCTGAAATTCCTGAAAATGGAAAGTTCCAGACAATACTCGTGTGATAGTCAAAAGGGTAAGTTCACTAGGTTTTTGGAAACACTGTTGAAGAGCTGCTGAGCAGGAAACCAAGTTCCAACCAAATTCAGCTAAGCTCACGCCGGGTGTCGCGGGCTCACGTGGCAGTCGAAGAAGACCACCACGTCCCCCGTCGCGGCGTCGCCCCCCGACTTCTTCGCCTCAAGCGACGTCGATCCGGGAAGCTGCGGCACTGTTTGCTTTGCTTTTAGTGCAGATCTGAGTTTGTCCCCTGAGTATTTAGTGTACAACAATGAACATAATTTCCATTTCCATATGTATATATATATATATATACACATAATGTATAGACCAGGGTCTCAAGGTTCACATGGTCAAGGGCACAATCATAGGAACCAGTGGTCAAGATTGTGGCCTTTTGGGATCGCTTTGAGAGGTGGGGAATCAGGGACCTGCCAAAAAAAGCCCCGATCTTGGTAAACCCCGCTGGTTTTGATGCCCTTGAAAACTGGACGAATTGGCTAGAATCCATGGAGTCATCTACATGGGTAAGCAGGTTAAGCTGCTCAATGCAAAAATGAGAAAAACAAAAACAATGTTGGACTGCAACAAACCTACTCCTCCTGTGTGAGAAGAAGCCAAAAAAACAGAAGAGCAAACCCCACCCTTTGAGAGCTGCCGAGTCTACGCACAGAACACCCTAGGCTGGGGGCTCCAAGCGCTGAAAGATGCACAGGACCCCAACCCAACGGGTACCTGCTGAGAGCTTTCTTGCCGGTGCGATAGGTAGTGAATGTAGGAATGGGCCCAGGGATTCCCTTAAAGGAAGCCACAAAAAATGGTTCATTCAGGTCATTCCTTCGTTCCCTGCTGAGCACCATGAAGTTCTCTGGGCCATGAAAGTGATGCAGACACCAATCAACAAACTTTTTCTGTGGGTCAAAATAGGTACCCAACCAAAGTGGAACCCTGTTAAATGGAAAGAAGGACTGACTAAAACCTGCGGATTACCCCCTGTTGGTTTCATTTTGACCCATACCCCTTTTGAAACTTGCCAACAGGTCTGTCCATACCCTGCACTTCTTCCCAACCTTGGCTTATTAACTAGATAAGCACGTATTGCTGTGTAGACACATCTGAAAAAAAAGAAAGCCAAGACAGGAACCCATCCTGGAGCCAACTGCCTTGACTTTCCAGGTGAGCTCGCAGTGAGTTGCTCAAACAGGGATCACAAACAATTGAGCCCTACATTGGCAGCCTGACCCCCAACTCCCCACCCCGACACCTCCCCCCCAGACGAAACGCAGCCAACCAGGGAAACGCATTGAAAGGGCCGTGTGTCCATGCGCTTTCCGCGTTTTTTTCAGGGGCTTCTCGCTCCAACCCGAGGCGCCGAGATGAGGCCCAGCGTCTGCTCGTGGCGCACGATGCGCATCTTTGGCACCCCAACGCCACCCTCCAGCAGCTGGGCCGACATTTGCGTCCTGACCGGGCGAGAGTGAGGTACCCACCCCGAAGGCTGCCCCCCTGGGCGCAGCTAAATCGTGTTTCTTGGGGCAACATTCCCAGCGTCTGAACCGGGTTGGGCTGGAGCCTTCACGGTATTTTGTGGGGAGCATTGCCAACCAGCCAACCAACCAGCCAACCAGCCAACCAAACAACCAACCAACCGAGGTTATTTAAGCCCCAACTCGGGCAAGCAAAAAAGCGCACACAAATGCCGTGATTTGGGTTGGTGGGAGTGGGGTGCCAAATTACAGTGACAAAGAAATGGTTGCCTGGCTCGACAGAGTCGTAGATTCCACCATCCAACATGTCTCTCCCGCACTCAGAAGCGGACATCCCGATCAATCAGACAGTGCGGTTTCCTTTAGGCCTTTGATTTAATCCCGGAAAAAAGTACGCTCAACCAACAAAAATACCCGTGGTCCCCAAACACCATGATCATGACCGTTCCCAACAACATGTCGATTGAAACAACGCATCCGAGCTGCTTCAGAGGTGGTCGGCTGCCGTCATCCACCACAATGATCCTGAAACCCGGGAAATGGGACATGGGAGGATCAAGGATGCTCGGCGGTCCCGGATTCCCTCCAAACATCGTTGCGGAGGGCAAGCGTAAAATCGCTAAACATGAATATGACATTGGGCGCTCCTCATGCATGCTTCACGCGATTGTTGAATCAATCATGATCATGCCGCACAGCTCGCCCACGCCCCATGTAGTGCTTGTGCCGGGAAACAACTCGTGTGCCTGTCCAGTCGGTGGGGCATTGAGCTGCTGACGTGTAGTAAGTCCCTAGTTTGGGTTTGCATAGCCTCAAGCCTCCTTCTGGCAAAGCGGTTCTTCTTGGGGTTCTGTGGAGGTTTGTGCAAAGGAATTGTTAAATCCTTCATGGCGGTGATTCCTTGGGGTTCTGCAAAATGCCATGCCGCATATTGATGCCATGCCACACCCCTTGAACCAAAGTTCCGCCTGAGCAATTCACCCGTTCGGGCCACTTTCGGGTTGCATCCTGCAATTCTCTGCTGATTTGCCAAGCAAATTGTCTTCACAAGCTCTGCTGGCTGTTGCCTTTCCCGTGGTGTTGATGCTGACGAATGGCTAACATTTGCAAGACATGACACATAATTATATCTTGACAAATATTTGGAACTGCTCTATTTGTGCGAAGACCCCCTCAACTCCACCCACACGGTCCCGTCGATTCCCGTTGAAACAGCATAGGCATAGGGTTCGGGGGTTGTGAATCATGCGCGGTAATTCTCAGAGCGGCCTTTCTTCACGGTAGCACCCACCAACAAACCCTTGCCAACAAAGTCTGTTGCAGAAACAACCGATTTCCAGCACACAGTCACGGGGGTAAAAAGGCGATGAAAGCAATGAAGGGCACGTGTGCTAGCTAAGCATCTCTTTGAGAATGGTCTTGTCGGTGTTCTCCCAAATTGCCTGGGCTGCAATGACCGGCGCCAAGGCAAATGAGGGTGTGCTGAGCCATTGGCAAAGTACTGGAGTGATAAAGCACGAGTACGCAGGCATCGCTGCATGAACAGGCAAGCGGCATTGCAGGCAATCAATATGCAGCTTCAGCTGAATGCACACGCAACGCATTGCAAGGCTGACATGGGCCAATTCAGATTCCTGAGCTTGGACTAAGTCTGACTCGAGGTCGTGAAACTGCCGAACGTACTCCAAGAGGTCAGGTGGGGATTGGGAGTGAGGTGAAGAGCAGCTGTCAAGGTTGAGGTTTGGTCCTTCTCAAAGACCCAAGCACGCTGAAACACAAGCACATGTCAAATGATGCCAAATGGCGCGATTCACCTCTGTTCCCTGCGGATGTCAAGCAGATCGCCGCGGAATTCATAGCTCAAAAGTCTAGAGCCGGCAAAGCGTCGGCAAAGCACGGGGCCACCAGCAGGCACAATAGCTGCTGAAAGGAAGACAAAGCATTGAATTGCATCAGAAAGGGCGGATCAACAGATGATCAGTGTGCCTAACTGCAGCTGTTGGTGACTTGTGCAAGGTGTGCAAGGGTCAAGCTCCTTCGTGGCGATGCGCATATATATATATATATATATATATAAATTTGGCATCTGCTCTTGAATACTCTGGATTGGGACATGTGTTAGTTTTGGAATCAGCATCGATGGTCCACATATTCCAATTGGTGTGCACAGGTGTGCGAGATCAAAACGATAAAGTTGATCGCTCTCTTCCCGAGTTGAAACGACGCGCCAAACGTCGCTTTCACGATAGCCATAAGCTTGGTTTGCTTCTACGCTGAGAGCCTTGCTGGTGGTGGTGCGAAACAAACTGCAGCAGCATTCGCGGTCCAATCCAGCCACTGGCAGTTCGATCCGGTGCAAACTGTTCTACGCGCATGGAAGCGTCTGATGTTAGGCAAGCTTGAGTAAAAGCATGGGACCACTGATGGCCAAATTTGCTTCTGATAAATTGAGAATGGCTCTGAAACTGGCACGGAGTTTAGAGACCACCATTGATGGCCAGTGTACCATGAATTGCCACCTTGATATTGCTAGGGACGGCCAAATTTTACCACAAACAGTCAAAATGGTGTTCAAAACGATGAAATGCTAAACATTCCAGAACTCTTGGCTGGAACTAGGACCCCATCAGAAAATTAGATATGTTTGGCCTGGTTAGTGGAAAACAAAGGGGGCCCCAAAAAATGCCAAAAAAATAAAAAGAGGGGGACTAATTCTGGGAAGAACTATAGCCAGACTTTGAGATGTGTTCCTAGGCTCCCTTTTGGCAGCCAGGCGGCCCAAACCGTTTTCTCTGCAAACTCGCCCTCGAAAGCACAAGGCAAGACCACGCTGAAACTCTTCCTGAGCTGTCGACAGCTTGCGCCAAGCGCAGAAATCAAGAGCATGCTGAGCAAAGCACGCAAAACCAACAAGAAACCTCTTCGCAGCTAGAAAACCAGACCAAACCATCATTCACCCGAAGCCAAGCAACACAGACACAAAGTAAGAGTTTGGGATGAACACCGTGCACAGACTGCAAGCAAGCCCCTTGTGGATGCACAAGGAAAGAAGGCACTTGATCACAAACGTCGCCTCCCACCTGTCCACATCAATCATCAACAAACAAAAGAAACATTACCGTGGAAAAACCTTCCAATATGCACCCATGCACTTCAAACCACCAGACCCCCACCGTCACCACCCTTTTGCGGAGCCCCAAAGATCAGAAATGCAGGGCTCGACCATGTTTAGTGGAGTCAAAAACAGAAAGAAACTTGAAGGGTGGGTGAGCCACTAGCGAATCATAGTAGATTACTATGGAACCCTTTCTTCCATACCCCCTTCCCAAAGAGGAACAAAGGGGCGCCACCGAACAGATGTGCCGCTTTATGTGGCAGGCCTTTGGTGAGCATCATGCAGAGAATGGCGTCCTTTTAGTTTCCGTTTAAAACCACAACAAAACAAGGGGTACCAACTCAAACAACAGACGCAACCAAATAAAATGGTCCGTCCTAAAACGGCCACCAACGCGTTTTCTTTTTTGCTTCCCTCCAACAAACACACGATTTGCACACGTTGCCCCAACCCGCCGCCGTGTCACCATCAGCACCGCTGTTTTCCGTATGTTGGGTGGGTGAAGTTGCATGCTGCAGTAACTGTGATCTTATCATTCACTCAATTTCCTGGACCCTTGCTGTGGAAATTATGCGGTTCGGAGGTGCTGGATCACTTTCGAAAGGAGACGGTCAGCTCCAATGACACCCAGCTCGACAACGTTGTCGTCAAGGCGGCGGGGATCCGTAGCACTGGCATTGGCGCTTGCTAGTTTGCAGATGGAATGTTAGCACCTGGTACTGTCAGAACCAAGGCTGCCACGGCGTCCCGATGTCAAGCTCGTGGAATTCCATAGGTTTAGCGTACCTGACAGAGATGCGCAACGCCCATATCAGGGCGAATGATCTAGTTTTTTGTCCAACGTGGCGCGGGGCCTCCTTCGAAAGCGGCAGAATTTCGACTGGCATTGGTGGCAGACGATGACCGGGCAGAGTTTGACGAAGATGGCAACTTGCTCGCGCCTTCAACTCACGAGAGATCGGTTGCGACCATGCTGAGAAGTCGGTCACGCTGCTGTTGCCAGCGGGCAAGACTGACATTGAAACCAAAGGTGTCAAGCGAAAGGTGAAAATCCTGGCTCGGTTGTCCATGAAAGCCGCAACACAAGCAGGAACACGGGCCAGGTGTGGGATGTAAGGGCCATCGAAAGTATTGCTCGCCGCGTTCTTCAACCAGCAGTGGTGATGAATTTAGAGACGAAGAAATGCATTTGACCAGTGGCTGCAGCTGCTGAGAAGCCCCACTGAGATGGCTACGAAGTGTGGTTGGCGTTGGGTTTGTGCAGATGCGCCTGTCAAATTCATCCATGATGTGAATGGCATACCTTGCAGAGCTTCCGCGTGCGTAAGTGCATGCCATATATGCTAGCTGGCTTCCATACGACTTGGATCCGTAACAAGAGCTGGGCGAACAGCTGCAGCAACCCCGGGTCCCCAGATGCACACGACTTGAACGGTTCCAAGTCAGTGTCCAAGATGGAGCAGTGCCAAATCATGATTGGCCGATGGTGCAACCGTAATACACCTCCCATCCCATGTGAACATGCGTCACACAGTAACATATGTCAACAGGTCAGGCGCATTGAGTATGTATCGGTGACGTAGCCTTCAAGATGCTCTGCCAACCGTGCACTGGTTGTGCTTGAAAGCACAACACCCGGCTTTCCTTGTGCGAACCGGAAGCAGAACTCGTTCCCGTCTTGGTCCGTGATGCAGTGCCCCACTTGCGCGGGTGGCCCCCCTGTGCTCCTCCCTCGGCCTGCGGCGTCTTCGGCGGCCTTGCTTGTGTAGGGGTCGGCGCTGGTGCACTTGCTTGACCTTGACCTTGTCCACGGCTTGGACTTCTGCACGGCTATCTCCCTTCCATCTCTTGCCAAGAAATTCTGAGCTTCACGGGTGACATGGTTTCTTCCACTGTTCTTTATCTCTTTCAGCTCATCCAACCCAAGGTTGATTATCAGCAGCCTGCTTTCTGCTGCCTTGGTCAGGGAGCGGCGGTGCCAGCACTTGGGCACAACATCGGTCTTCGGCCTGCAGAAAGAGCTCCAGGTGCGCAGGTGTAGCAACAGGGCTGCCACTTGTCGGGTGCTTCAGCATGAACAACAATGACCTGTAGACACGCCAGCAAGCAGTCCACGCCGTGTAGTGCCGCCGGCCTTACTTCAAGCGCACGAAGCGCGCCATCTTGCTGAAATGTCCACGCCGTTGCTTTCATCTGCTTTTGGCCTCGCCAAGCAGCACCACTCTCTGGTACATCAAGGCAATCTGTTCCGGCGTAGGCGGTCGGGTTCTGTGAGGCCATGCGATTTGCATATGCCTGATCCAACTCTGATCTTCCCAGCAACGATGCTTCAGCCTCGTCCAACTGGTCCAGGACATGGGGCAACTTCACCTTCTTGGGCGCAGGTGAAGTCTGAGCTTCTTCGTGGAGTGGGTCCGCCACACGCCTTTCGAGCTGCACCAACCCAACTTACTCGGATTGACTCCGCCAGGCTCAATTTGCGAGCAGCTGCACCAGTGACGGAGATCCTGGCCCTTTGCATCGCTGCCTTCAAACCACTCTTTGGGGAGGCTGGCCAACAGGCGAATGTGCTGCATCCCACCAAGCGAGTCGATCACATTCCACACGGTAGGTAGGCCAACCCAAGCCACAAGGTCGCTCGGCGAACTGAACCCAACTGTCGACTGACAGCAGGACCGCTTAGCACTCCTCACCGAAAGCACCGGCCATGCCACAACAGCCAACCGCAAACGAAGCCGCAGACCCAAGGCGTCATGAACTTAATACCCAAGCATCTTGAGCAAAATGGCACAGTTGCCACTCTGACTTTCTGACTGCACAGCTGTCATCAAGATTCAAGCACCATACAAGTGCAACATCTGCAACATCTCTATTTTTACTTCGTATCAGTTGATACTCCACCAACATGTTGAGTAAGCCCAACCCCACCCATGTGGCTTTGTCTCAAAATACCGGGACCACCCCCCCGCTGGCACAAAGAACAGGTGGTTTCCCTTTTGGCCTTCTCTTGAAACCAACAGCCTCCAAAAACGCAGCCCCATAAATGGGGAAGCCTACCGTTTCCTCTTCTAGGTCCTCCAGTAGAGAGGTTGGAATAAGGGTACCCTTTTTCCCTGTAGTCTATTTTAGTAGGGTCCCGACTCCTCACCCTCCCCCAAAAAAAGAGGAAACGGTAAAAGTTGGCACCAATCGCTGCACCAATCGTCTTGGTTTCCACTTACCCCAACGCCTTAAACCAACGCCTTAGCCGCCCGAAGGACCGACGGAGTCCGATGGCTAAGGACCAAGTCGCATGTCCACCGGGGCCTCCAGCTTGGGCGGCCGAGGCCGCCATCGCAGCGAGGCCACCTCGAGCTCGAGCCGCGAGCCGCGAGTGATCCGAACCGCTGGAGTTGGCTCCCTTCTACTTCATAGAATATATATATATATATATGTTCCAGGCCGTGGACGCCCCCCCCAACCCCCCCCCCCCCTGTGAAGGTGGGGTGGGTGGTGGGTGGTGGGGTGGTGGGGTGGTTGGGTGGTTGGGGTGTGGTTCGGAGTTGGTTTAGGCTTGGTGGGTTGGTTTAGGGTTGGTTCAGGGTTGGTTCAGGGTTGGCTTGCGGTGGGTTTCGGGTGGGTTTGGGGTTTGGGTTGATTTAGGCTTAGGGTTGGGGTTAAGGAGGGGTTGCAGGGTGGTTTGGTTTAGGGTAGGATGTTGCGAGAGGTGCGGGGGTGTTGGTTCACGGGGTGAAAGGGGGAGTCTGGGACCGAAGCTGCAGGGCTCACACGGTACTGGACAGCATCCCCAGCATTGCCAGCATCATCCCCAAGATGCGGATGATGCGGGGGAGTGGGGGGACCATACCATTGGGGGGGGGGGGGGGGGTACGTGGCCCAGGGACTGGTACATATATATATATATGTATGCTTGTATATACACACCTATGTATATGTATATATCTTGTATATATATATATATACACTATAGAATCTATATACACCAGCTCGCTCTCTCTCTCTCTCTCTCTCTCTATCATGTTGATATCCCAGTATATACGCACTTCCTAAGTGACAGAAATAACGGGATTCTTGCGAAGCGATTTGCACCATGACATGTGCAGGGGTCCCTTAAATGGTCGACCCCTCAGCAAATGTTCTAGGGTTCTTGAATTCCCCAAAATGGTGAAACAACAAGCCCAAGCCGAGTTTACTCCTGTAATGGGTGCAAGGCATTTGTGAGTGTCGAGACATGCCAAAGATAGTGCCAGGATGAAGGAAGATGTGGATGGTTTAACATCGCAAAACAAGAAGTGGAAGGCAATCAAAATCATAATGCAAAGAAGGAGAACACCAAAAATCACACACAGAATCCAAAGAAGAACGAATCATGCCAGATGAGCAAGGGGAACAAGAAGAACAGCCAGGGTCATAAGATCAATCAGACAAAACGACGGGCAAACACCAAAACGGAGGGCACAGCGCTTCCACAGAGCGTCGCATGCGTTTCCGTTGCCTGCTCCGCCGCGGAGCGCCGCGAGCCGGAGCCGGAGCCGGAGGAGATCACCTGGGGGTTGATTCCTTTTCCATTCTTTTCAACCATCGTTCTTTTCAAAAAACCAGCGGTTTTCCCGGGGTTTTTGGTGGTTTTCTAGAAAGAAGGATCCCTGGGTTAAGAATGGAAATGGAAGCTACCCTTGGGCAGGGGTTGCCATTTGGCGCTGGGTCAGAACCGTTTTGGGATCCCATTTTGGTTGGTAGGTGCACCACCCATTTTAGAACCTATTTTAGTGGTTGGATTGGGATGTTCACCGGGGGTACGGGATTTTGACCCATGGCCATTATTTGAGTCACAATCAAAACCCGGTAGCAAAATGGTCTACCCGGAGTCTACCCAGAACCATGTATAGAATTAAGAAGGCGGCCGCAACTATTTCTGGCTGGGACTGCCCCTTACTAACCTTCAACTACCCGGGTTTTGATTGTGGCTCATTTGGCGCTGGGTCAGAAATAGGTAAAACGGCTTGCCCCTGTAAATAATATGCGGTCCAATTCCTGGTCGCTTAATTTTGGTACATATGTATTTGAGGGGCTGACGAAGTGTTATGCTTATTGCAGTCAGTACGAATACTGAAATTGATTTAATCTCTCACTACTTGTTCTGGACTCAAGTTGAAGCGCTTTGCAGCAAGGTGGTTGAGATCAGAGGGGGACCCTCACGTTTTGCAGAGAACACTTCGTGTTGCTCCTGTTCGAGCAACTGCGTCTTGTGTTTCCAGCACATTCAAGCTAGAATGAAAATCGGAAACTGGTTTAGTACAAGTGTAGCATTCCAAGTCCGCTTTGACGCGTGCACTTTGGCAGCTCGTCGAAACTTCCAAAATGACGTATCCACATCCTTACAAGCCTCACCCAAGGAAGCTCAGTTCAACATGGCAACCGAAGCTGGATCTGAGACGGGGGGTTCCACGTGTGTATTGGCCTTGAAATCCTATGGGGAAAATTTGAAGGTCCATGGAGTTTACATGCGTTTCCGGCTGATGCTTCCGTGTGCAAGGAATGCAAACAGCAGCCTGCTGAAACTATTGCTTGCTTCAGGAAAATACGTCTGCTCTGCTATGAACATGGGCCGTCCCTATGAATACTTTGTAACTTCAACGGCATTTTGTTGGTCAACAAAAAGGAAACACCTCATTTCCGGCAACTTGATGGCCCATGAAGTGTTTCGTCTTTCGTCGCGGGGTCACAAAGGTCCTGTGCAGGAAAAGACAACTGGAAGCATCCGCAGCCGAAAAAAAAATCCCTCTCAGTGGGTGCCCAACAGCCCTGGCCAGAACTCATTCTCCGGAACGGGCAGTCGCTCACTTGGGACAAAAACCTGAACACGACGACAAACAAAGCAATTCCGAAAACGTGTCAATGTAGTGCCCAAGCGCCAAACCACCCACGCAATGGTGTTTTAAGGGGCAGTGCTCGTCAGGCAAGCGGATAATAACCATGGTTCCAAACCGCAAAGCCATAGTTATCGTCTCCTTTCAGTGGGCTTTCTCACCAACCTTACTCTCACCACTTACCCCACGTACCTTGCCCGGTTTCCGATCCCCCGCTAAAAGCTTTTAACTTTTAGTGGGTGAAATTCGGAACTACCACCAAACCCTAAGAGGCTAAAAAGCTAAGGAACCGGATGGCTGGGAGCCACCAAGGTACCGAATCCATCGCCAATTTCGTCTCTTCTGCCGCCTCCCGCCTGGCGGTGCTCGTTGAGCGCCTTGTGCTGCGCCAGGTGCAGCACCGCGGGGGAGAAGTCCGCGCTGGACTGCAGCACCTGCGCGTAGGCCACGCTGAGCAGCAGCACCTGGGGCAAACAAATCCGGACACGAACTCAAAGGAAAATCCAGACCCCTGAAATGTGAGAACCCGGACAGAATAACATATATGGCTGTTGGTCAAAACCAATGGTACCATTTTGGGGCAGGTGCACCACCCATTTTGGTCGATTTTAGTGGGGATTGGGATGTTTGGTCTATTTTAGTGGGGATTGGGATGTTCACTGGGGGTACGGGATTTTGACCCATGGCCATATATATATATATATTATGGAAGAATTCTTGCATGAGTTGATACGATTGCCTGTTTGCCACCCCGCGCCCCCTACTTAACATTGTGTTGCGACAGGCAAAGAAGGTCGTAGGTAGCCAATGACAGAAGGCTTGCTTGACCCAACAACTTGGCCAAACTGAGCACCGCTGTTAAAGCGGGGGGCGAGGGGTTCTGCCATCCGACTGGCATAGAGGCTGCATTTGGCCGCTTGCGGAGTCGTTTTGGCGCCACTCAGTCAGACCCGCCAATGCAACTGTTGGAGGTCCCAAGGTCTGAGAAGAGGCGTGCAGAGGCGTCAAGCATTGCCCGGTGGCCACTTTTTTCACAGACGCTGGACACATACCGTATGGTCTCAACGCATTTGTGCAGGAAAGCACGCAGGCTGACTCGCAAGTGCAGCCAGGTCCCCAGTTAGAATAAGGGTGCCCTTGTTTCTGTAGTCTGTTTTTAGTCGGGGAACCCTCCCAACCAAAAAAGGGGTGGGGGACCTAGGCAGCGCGTGATGCATCCTTTGTTGGCCAATGGGAACTCTGCCAGCGGGAGACCACCCAGTTTCGAACAAAGAGCTCACACTCCAAACTCAGAAGCCGCCTCCCCTGGTCTCCTTTGGTCCACCCACCAACTCCCCAACCACCCACCAACCCCCCAACCCCCCAACCCCCCAACCCCCCAACCCCCCACCCCCCAACCCACCAACCCCTGCAACCCTACCAATTCACCAACCCACCAACCCACAAAGCCACCCCAACCCACCAACCCCCCATCAACCCTCCCCCTCACCCCCCCCCCTCACCCCGCCGTCACGATGAAGGTGACCAGCACGGCGATCCGTGGCGAGGGCACCGCGGCGGAGATCACCGTGCCGCAGGCCGCGGAGACCAACACCATCCTTCGCTCGCTCCGGGCGGAGCTTCCCACATCCAAAAAAGCAGGCAAAAACCTGGAGACCAAACGGGGTCAACCAAATGGCCGGAAATTTTAGGGGGGGCTTGGACCAAAAACCAGAAACCACCCTTCACAGAAGGGTGGGTTCTTCCAAGTGGAAACTCGGGAACCCCTCCACGAAAGGTTGACCCGGTCACCTCGCTCCAGCCGAGAAGCTTCCAGTCTCCAGCTGCCCCATCGCCCTCCGGCTGCAGTAGGCCCACCTGCGGCCCAGGACAGGCGGGTGACACTAAATGGGCTTTGTTTTTGTTTGAGGGTACCTTTTTTTGATTATGTTGAACGAAGTTGAACGAAAACCAAAAGGAACACCACCATGTTGGGGTAGCCTGAATGTGTCATGGGCGCCCGCAATTCGGGCGCCGCCATGTTGGCAGTGTGGGCGCCAGTTTGTGCGTCGTTTTTGAGGCAATGCTCGGGGGGTTCTTCACAAGGGTGGTGTTCAACGTCTACCTGCGGCCATGGGGCCATACCCATAATCTTGGTGGAATGACACCCCAATAATTTTGGGGCTGAACCGGTTTGACCGTTGATATGGCACCACATGTTCCGCAGTATGGACGCTGTGCAGCATTGTGAGGGAGCTCTTCTTTGTGTTTGTTTTGAAGGGAAGCCAAATGCAAAGTACACATGTTGATTGTCCCCTGAATTTTGAGGCAAAGCCGATCAGGTTCTAAGAAATCAAGCTCTAGGATAGTACATGATTGTCCTTTGGTACAAGCTCGAAGCCATTTGTTAGAACCGGTTGCGGTTTTTTGGAATCGAACCGAATTGAAGAATGTGAGTTGGAATTCTCCAAAACAGCTATGCGTCTTCTCAGAAAGATTGCTCCCAAAGTCCCGGGCTGCTAACACTATTCCTTTCAAAGGTTACCAAAAAAAAATAGAGCCTTTACACACCTGAAACAGAAAACTGTATTCTCTATCATGGGTGAGGTCGCCCCCCAATAGCACCCCCCAATAGCAATTGCCATAGCGCATGCACCCCCAGCAAAGGAACCGCCGAGCTGCTAGCAGCGGCAGAAGCAGCTGCGGCAGCAGCCGCAGCAGCAACGCCACTGCAAGCTGACCCGGACTCTTCCGCTTCATCGCTCGGAAAAGCGCTCGGCCCGGGGCAGTGGCGAAGCGGGTCTGACGTTGATCCCTTCATGACTCTGATGGCGATGATTGGCAGGATTTCCTCTTTCAGGGCCTTGCCCCCGGAACGAATAACACCGCTGTGTGTGTGTGTGTGTGTGCGTCGTATAGTTCCTGTTCAACACCGGGCCGCAAAAAAGCAACTGCCTCACATGGCCTTGGTTTGCTGTCATCGGCATCTTTAGGGCTGGACAGTTGGCCCAGCTGCAGTTGTTGCCTGACACTTCCCCCAATGCTTCTAGGCATGCCATTTTATAACTAACCAAGTATGTAGTGGTACCAACCAGCTAGCTGAGAAGAAGCTGGTCCACCAGATCACGGGGTTGCCCTCTGACCTCCGTCTTACCAGAAACAACACGTGAAGCTCTTGGCTTTTTTCATCGCTTGGTCCTTGGCGTTCCGTGTCAGCTTTCCATGTCAGCGTCATCAAAACTCGCCGGCATCTCTTTGCCGAGTGCCTTGGGCCCAATGAAAACTGCCCCTCGGCCACTCGCCTTTCAACTGGGGCGCCTTGGCGCCTTGTAGATCTGGACCGAGTTGCGCAAGTGAGACGGGGGCAAGGGATCCGGCACCATGACGTAAAATGTGTGAGGTGGGTGTACTGTACTGCCAAATGCGCGGATCATTTCTCTGTAAACTTCCATGATTGCTGGAGGAAGGGTATCCCAGCATTGCGTCCCCTTGTATGTGTCGGTGGTGTTGCTTGGTGGGGCTACGTCAGCTTCTGCCCCTTTTTTAAAGAATCTCGGAACCCGGAAAAAAAGAAACGGGAAAAGAAAAAACATAATAACAAAAGAGATCCCAGGTCGGATTCAGCTCCTCTTCTCTTCGCCAGCATCTTTACAGCTGAGTGATCCGGCTGAGGGGAAGTCTCAAAGGGCATGTCCAAGGACTCCGAAGACACAGATCTGAATCCGAACCTCTCCGCTTGAAGGGCGGGTCATTCAAAACCACTTGGAACTTATTCAAAGGACTTTTTTTTTGTCTGACCTGATTAACCGCTCAGGTCATGACCCTCCCAAAGGACTTGTTCAAAACCATTTTGAGTTGGCGCTCAGGTCAAGACCCTCCCAAACTTCCCAAGCAAAGAAACAATAGGCGGTGCTCGAATGCCACTGTTGCTCGGCTAGTTGATGTCACAACCTGAAAAAATCGCAATGCACACCAACGACCAGGTAGGGTATCTGCGCAAGTTCATGTCCCAGTTCTGAGATTTATCGCATAAATCGAACCGAATGGGGCCTTTGAAACCTGCCTGACAAAAAAGAAATGCAGAATCACACCCTCCACGATTAAAACCCAAAAACGGAACATGTCCCTTCCCTGTGGCAAATGTTGGCGCCTCAGTGAATCGAATCCGGTTGCAACCCCCAGTCTCGTGGCTGGATTCCTTTTCTTTCAAGGGCCCTCTCCCTGTCTCGGGCCAAACACTCTAAGGAAAGGAGAGCGCACATAAATGTCACTTGGGGTGTGAAATAGCGAGGCCTCTCAACATTTGATTCGTGAAACGTGGTTCTGGTCCCCCTTTAGGGTCCCAGGCTTTTGATCAAACATGGCACTGGGGGGACACGCCAGTTGACCTTGGCTTTGCTTAATCAAACATGGTGAGAAAGGGAGACCCCCCCATTTAACGTGACCCTCACCCCTTCCTTCCTTCCTTTCCATAAACATCTAATAAGTGGTCTTTGTTTGATCCTCATAAGTCTTTTTTGGATGCCTATCCTAGGTCCTCCAGTAGAGAGGTTAGAATAAGGCTGCCAACTTTTTTTCTGTAGACTATCTTAGTAGGGGAACCCTCCCAACCACAAAAGGGGAGAGAAGGGCAGGGCACCTAGCTGGGAGACCTAGTATCCCTGCACCCTCCATTCCCTCAATGCCAAACGATCCAACCGCGCCTTCGGAGCCGTTCGCGCGGGGAAGCGGCCGGTTGGGCGGCGCCGGGGAAGAAGGCACCTGCCGCTTGGGTTTTGCTTGGGAACGTGTCCGGGGTCCATCGAAGGTCTGGCCCAAAAAAAGGAAACATCTCCTTTTTCTAGGGGTTGATTCCAGTTCCATTCTTTTCAACCATCGTTCTTTCCAAAAAGCGGATCCGTTTTCCCTGGGTTTCCGGAGGTTATCTAGAAAGATCCGGATCCCCTGGGTTCAGAATGGGGAAGGTACCCCTAGACTTTTGGGAATCTTTTGTTGGATGGACCCAAACAAAATGGCATTGGTTCTCCTTTTGGGGTACTCAAAAAAGGACACATCCGGTTTCGGAGAGTCAGAATTTACGGTCCCACGCCACCAACAAACACTGAAACCGGGCTCTTGGACAGAACGCTGCGCTTCAATGCTTGTGAAGGTGCCTCTCAAAATTGGGAGCCCTCTTAGCGAAGCAAGGACATGAAATTCCTGCCTTCAAGTGTTTGGCCCAGCCATTGTCTGGACATGGAGCAAAAGATATGAACAGGTTCAAACCACATACTTGGCCATGGGTCAAAACCCCGTACCCCCAGTGAACATCCCAATCCAACCGCTAAAATAGAAGAGAATGAGTGGTGAATTCACCTATCTCAAAATGGGATCCCAAAACGGTGTTGAACCATGGCCACTTGTGGCTGGCGAAACAGAAGTTCAGGCTGAGTTCACTCGTCACCTCGAGAGCCTGCGCGCGCCGCGCGCCGCGAGTCGTTCAGGCTTGACTCAAGCGAGTTCGACGTGGGTCAAGCTACCCAGCCGCTGGCCGTGTTGGACTGATCACTTGTCGCTAAGCTAAGGGACACCTTGGGCTGACTTGGCTTGCGAACTGGGCTGACAAAACGAACGAGGAGTTATCGGGCAGCGAGCATGGGCAGCGACCTTCAATCAAAAATGCAGTTGCCGGGCCGGCCATCAAGCCAAGTTCATGCCTTCTTCAAACGGACTCACCATCACAAAGGGCTCAACATCACAGCCTCTGCCAGGCAGTGCGGCCTTGAGTAAGGCTTCCGCCGCTTCCGTTTGGAGGTTGTGGATGTGGGGGATAATCGTATACTGGGCCTCCAGCGTGAGGCCCTCGACAAACTTGGCAGTGAGGAGCTCCTTGGCACTGATAGACCGGCAAATGCTGTGGCAAATCGCCGCCTGACACGTCGCATCCAGCTTCAGCACCTCGTCTAAGTGAGAGGTGCCGGCTAGAGCTTTGGCCAGGAGAGTCTGCGTCTCGTCAAAGACATATCCTGATTTTAGTAGCGCTGTCTCGAAAAACTTTACGACATCCTTCACCTCCAGGGCGCCCTCCGTGTACTTCTGTATTCCCAGCCTCAAGAAAGAAATGCAATGCTCGGCATCAGTATTACTCCACTCCGCTAGCCCGACTGCTCCGTGCCAACGCCATTCACTATCTTTGTAAGCCAGCACAAGCAAGCGGCGGCTGAAAGCTGCGAAATAGCTGGGGTATGCCTCCAGGAATTTCAGCGCAAGTGGCAGGCCTGCAATGTGGTGCTCGACACCTGTCCCGAGAATGCCCGCCACCTTGTCGACCGCTGCCGGCCCACGATTGCACCAGTGCTTCAGCTGGTGCTCCACGTACGCGAGCAGCTCGTCATGCTTGTGTCTCACAGCATCTCGATATGTATCCTGGCGGCCAGCCACCAAACTCGGACGCTTGAACATATATCATACCATACTACAATTACAAGAGCAACCCAGATACTACAATTACAACAGTCCTACATATAGCCCAACTGAACAAGGCGTTTGTGCAACATGCTCCCGTCCTCCAGCTGAGGTAGCCCCAGCAGTGGCTGTTGCAAGCTGCTGCTCAGATCGCTCAACTCCTGGCATGCATGGTGTGCCTTGGCAAAGCTGCAAATTAGCTCCATGTCCCGATCGCTGTGAATGAGTCCACAAATTGGGGCGGTGCACATGTTCAGAACGTCGTTCTGGCAGTTCAGCATGAAAGCCTTTGCCGAGCAACGGGGTCAAAAATCACCATGCACTACACATGTAAATGATTGGGCCTTGTAATTCTGTATCTGTGTTCTTCCCAACCGCTTGCCGAGTCCGGGAAATCCACGGCCGGACTACCAACTGTGCTATCTGCCTACCTCTCCTGGACGCCAAGTGTATTCAGAATCAAAGGATTCTGCAAAAGAGGAAGTGTGAACCTTGGCCTAAAAATTGCATCCTGGAAGCTCCTTTAGTCCTTTGGAAAGAGGAGGAGCCCAGTTGATTGATAGCAACGCTGGCGTGCTGCAGACCAAACAAGGCACAAACAAATGGGGCCCAGTAACAAACCTGCTCTGCTCCCTGTTGATCATTGAAGGTCATACAGGTTTGTCAGGTGGACAGGGGAGGAACATCGTGTGCACTTGTGTTGTTTATTCTGTTGGGGACCAGCTGAACAAAAAGCAAGATCTCTGGGGAAGTGGCCTTCAGTTCCTCCAACGGGAACATTTAACCCGACATGCTCGAAGTAAGACCCAGCTGGCAGATCTCCCTCACCTGCCTTTCACGAACGGCCAAAAGGGGCCTTCAGTTCCCACCTTCCTCCGAGAGGCCAGCTGACACACGCGCAGGGCGGCGGCCACGTCCTTCGGGCGCTCCGGCAAACCCCAGATCTGGGCCGCCAGGCACCCGACGTCCGCCGCGGCGAGGCCCGCGCCGAGGTCGAGCTTCAGCGGGGCGTCGGCTTGGGAGCGCTGCTGATTGAGGAAGGGGAGCTTCCTGCGTGGCGGTTGCTCGTGAAGAAGCAAACGACACATTGCGTCAAACCATCATGAGCATGAGAACAGAGAAAAGCAGGAAAGCGGCCATGCGCAGGATGGGTCAACTGACGACTGTCAGAAAGAGCGAGCAGAGAAGAAAACCATATATATATATATACAAAGTCTATATATATATACAAAGTCACTAAGAGCAATAGAGCATCTCCAGAATAGCCTCCGGCAGGTACATCATCTGCGTGTCTTCCGACGAACGCACCTCCACTGCATGAACAGGCGAAGCAAACCAGGACGACATCCTCAGCTGCGTCGTGGGATCACGCATCTAGGGGAGCCACGTACTACGGAACCAATACTTCTAGGAGTCATCCATTTCCCTGCATCATGTGTTTGGCGGGTTTGTAGCAAAAAGGATCCCGGATGGTATAGAAAACACTTGCCAGGTAATGGATTCACCAAGGCTGTTGCCCCATGAGCAGTGGCTTGCAAACCACTCGCAAGCCATGTCTAAGCCATGGATTGGGGCACCAACTGCCACAAAGCGAACTGCTGCAAATCACAGGGCAAGCCAAGACAAGGAACTCGAGGCTCGGCTTGGATGGCTGGCAAAAAGGGCGCAAGTGCCCTCCACGGATCAGAGCTGTCGGACTTTAGATCTTGATCCGAAGGTCCGCTGCGGTTGATCTGGACGCACGAACTGAAGGTCCAAACCTCCCAATCAACGGTTGAATGACGAGCCAACCAGCTCGCGACTCACATCCAAGTTGGCTGGTGGCGCCCTTTGAGAGGGGCACCAAGGAAGCTCCCTTGACAATGTCAGGCCTCGGGCACCGCAGAGCCGCGATCCTGTGAGCGCTCCGGCGTGCTTGCAAGGCATGCAGGTTGATTTGCAGATGCGCCAAGACTTAGTTGGACTCTTGGGTCTGGAACAAGCAGCAAACAAAAACTCGCCACTTGGGGGGATCCCCAGTTTTAACACATTGGTCGGCCCACACAAGTGAAGGAACTTCTTAAGGTCAAAAAGCGGACTGCCCAAGCTGGGTGCATTCCGTTTGGCTTCCCCTCAAAACAATCAGCAGTTCCCAACATGACGCCATTTGCTTACACGCCCGCAAATTCAATCGGCGCTCTATGGTTTTGACCCTTCTAGCGCCGCTCGAAAAAGCCAGTCCACAGGATTAACAAAAACCTCGCCCTCATTTTGGGTAACACAAAATGTATTGATCCCAAACCAAACTTTGCCCAAAGGACCCGTCCCCCTTTCCCCATAAAAAAAGGCGTCAAGGTCAACCTCCGAAGCCAACCATCGGAGCCCGGAGGGGGTTCATCAGGCCTGATCGCACTGCTTGAGACCTGGAAGTCTCAACAAAGCTCCGAAGCTGGGTCCTGTAGAACTCATAGCGCTATAGCAGTTTCTCAGTGGCAGCAAAAACCTACCAGGATCAGCAGTTTACCCATTGTTTAGTGGAAGGAACTCAAGCAAGTTGGCGCCTTTTCGAGCCAATTTGGGAGTTTAACCGTTCCTATTACAGTTTACCTTCATAGACCCCCAACCACAGCCCCAGGCCCAGGGCTCACCTTATAAACCCCACTTCTCAGCGAAAGAGAGAGCCTTTGAAGCGGGTGTCCTCACGTTTCGAGGCTAACCCTAGTGAAGTTTTAAGCCCACTCTGTATATATGCCAGGAGTACGCACATCATCGCACATCCTTACATGAAGTCATTTGACAAGCCCCGCAAATGTGTTTGTACCCTCGAAGTGAAGGACGGTGTGGTATACAAATCCCTCCGTGTCATTGATCAACGGCAGTGCAAAGGGTGGATTACTTTGGCCAAACGCCTGAGTTCATCAAGGCAAGTCGTAGCATGAAAACTGGGCAGGACGATATTTGCGACGAGACAGGGATTCCTTGCAAATCACGTATCTGTGAGAGAAATTGGTTTCATGCCAATCTGAAGGCGCAAAGATGCCGATGCTGACATTTCCAGGCGCAAGCCATTATTGCTCTCCGGTGAACAAATCCAGGGAGCCCAGAAAGCGGTTTTCCTAAGAAGAATCCTGTCACAGCATCACCAACAAAAACAACCAAGCGGCTTCGTTCCATGCCAAGCGTTCAAATCGCATAAGCCAAACCTCAAAACGGTTGACTCCGATACACTGAACGGCCGGTTCAGCCCTTCCGGTGTCCTGGGGCGGTGGAAAGGAAGGACAGGGCGGCAACCTCCTTACCTCGGTCGCAGCAACGTCCATGTTCGGCCAAACGGATGGGTTTTGCTTCCACGCTAACAACATCTAGTCTCACACGAGAAAAAAAAGAGAGAGAAAAAAAAAAGTTCCCATCCTTCAGCAGGACTAAGAGTGTGTAACCACCAAGCACATCAGCTTGCTGTTTCGAGGCGGCAGGATTCTGTACTTTGAAAGACACGAGCTATCTCTACTACTCACTTGCTGACATGCTGAGTGGGTGCCCAACAAAAAAGTCCAAACTTTGTATTCACCACTAAAATGGTCTTCCCAAACTCAGGAGGTGAGACTAAGCCCCTCATGAGCTTGCTTACCAACCTGCTGGCTCCGCAAAATGGCCTCAAGCATCTATACCTTACTTTTGCTTCCCAATAATTGGTCCTTGGGATTGGTGGTGTTTTTGGTGGTTGGGGGTGGTTTCCCCATTACAAGAACCAGAGGTTCAACTCCAATCCAAACAATCCAAACCACCAAATGAGGGGTTCCCAACGTTACTTGCTGCTTCGACCCGGGAATATTGAATGAGTATCACTGTCACCTTGTGGCTTCCTTTAAGGGAATCGGCCGATGACGCGGCTGGTGCGGCCGATTTTCCTCGATGCCTCGATGCCCATGGGGCCCCGGGCGCGCCGGGTCTTGGCCTTGCGCCAGTGGGAGAAGTCGGGCGCCGGGCCCTGGCGTCCGGAAGCCGCCGGAGGCGAACTTGGGGCGCCCAGCAGCTCAGGGAAAGGAACGGAAGGAAAAAGTCAAACAAAAAGAAGGGGGCCAAGCTCTTGGATGTTTGGGTGAAAAAGGAAAGTAAAAAAAAAAGGAAGATCAAGCTCTTGGATGTTTGGGTGAAAAAGGAAAGTCAAAAAGAAGGAAGCTAATGGAAGTTTGGAGTGGAAAGGAACGTCGAAGAAAACTCAAAGGAAATAGCTTGAGCCAGCCCAAATCCAGATATCTCCCAAGCATGGTGGGGCCAAACATTCCAGCACTTTTGCTTTAAGTGTTGCACGTCCCATTTTGGTGCTGCTTAGGTACGCTGCATCTGCTTTGAGTGTTAAGTTCTTGGGGAGCTTCTGCATTTTGGAGGGAATGCATGCAGCATAAGTCGACAACTGTGCTCCTGTTGAGTAGACACTCACGGTTCAGGGAGGAAACAGAAGAGATCGAGCCTGAAGTTCCTCCATTCTGTATTTCATTGGGGCGTTGGCCACACATCCGTCACGCTTCACCAGCACAACCCTTGGACCCTTGGCCATTCCTTGACGCTTCTCGCCCCGGCCGGCTTCTGTCTCTCCCTCTTTTCGTGGGTTACGATCTCCGGCCGATCCGCCCGATCTCCCGAAGCGGGAGCCGCACCTTGGGCTTGGGCGGCAGCTGCTTGCCCAGGATCACCCGCGCGGGCTTGGCCAGGGCGTAGTCCTGGCCGCGCGGGGGCCACCGGTCGCGCGCGGCTTTTTGGGGCGCCGCGCGCGCCGCTCGCTGGGCGCTCAAAAGGCCGGGGCTGGCACTGGCAGAAACCGAAAAATTCACGTGGAAGCGTTCGACCTTCGGGGGTGGACCATGTTTGGACCATGTTCCTGTTAAAGGGAACGAGTCCCGAACGTCAGGTTCCATGTGCAATTGGTGGGAGGGGAATGGCTGAAAGCGGGTCGCTTTTTTGATGGGGTTGAATAACATCAGCCGTAAAGAGTTGCTCAAGCCCGTGGGCAGAATCACTTTTCAATGACTAGGGCCGCCCTTTTGGAGCCAGCTAGCGTCTAAGATGTGTTCATGTACGTGTCGCAACGAGCTCAGGATGCATCCGAATGGTTGGGTTTATGTTGGCTCTGCTTCGAACATCTATGCGCTACTTCTACGCCTGGGTGCTGGACACTTTACTGTCTAGTAGCAAGATGAGAACATGGCGGGTTCTGGCGTCGAAGCTTGGCTGCAGGCTAACACCCCAGGCCGGGAACCCACCCCCAATCTTCCCCAAGACCTTTCTGCAAAGGGCCAAGGGGGTGCCAAGCGCGTAGGGGATGAGTCCTTGCTAACAATATGCACAACTTGATACAAATACCTGAAGCAAAGGATCCTCGCTGTAGTTTGTGCAGAACAATGGCCCGCCTTTTCAATTTGAAGGTGCGACGTGGCTCCCCTCCACAATTTGAAGCCGGCGTTCCTCCCTTCTGGAAGGCCGGATAGTCTTTATTTCAGGCTTGCCCCCATGGATGCCTCTGCTGGTAAAAAGTTATCTGCGCCCAGTTCAAACTTGGGTGAAAATTCAAATTGTAGAGTGTTTCTTCTTAGTTGTTGATTGTTTTTCTTAGTTCTTGATTGAGCGCCATATTAAATATACAAAAAGGAAACCAAAAGGCGTGTCCCTCAGTCTGTTCCGCAAGTAAACCACGCGACATGAGACAAGCCTCGCCTTCAGCCGGCGGCCCGGCTTGAGATCGTCCACCAGGCCGTCGCGACCTCCGCTGGTTTCAGGAGACGGCGAGACATGGACCTGAAGAATCAAGCACATAAACTGGCATGGTGCCCCTCCTCCATAGGCAAAACACATTGTTGATATACACATCATATACAAATATACATGTATGCTTTCTACAAATATTTATTTACGTTGTGATTTTGGACGGGAACTTCTGCCGCCGCAGCAAAAAAACGCCGTTGAATTCCAGAAACGCCGGCAGTTTGCAAGAAACGCCGTTGGCCCCTGGCTGATCCAAATCAGCTCAGGGCCTCGGCGCAAAGCAGTCTCAGAAGGTAGCAACATGAAGCGCTGAACACAACACAAAACTGACTCTCGCCCCCTTGCAAGGCGGCTTTGGTCGATCTGTGACACCTGGATCACTCCTCAAGAAAGCGTTTGCGATCTTGAGTTCCGCCGTTGGGACGCGCGTTTCCGCCGTTGGGATGCGCGTTTCCGCCGTCGGGACGCGCGTTTCCGCCGTCGGGACGTAGGTTTCCGCCACCGGCAAGTCAACACATTTGGCGGTAAAGCTCGATGGGTATTCCAACAGGTCGCACCGAGTTTCACAAACCCACAAAGCCTAGCACAAAACCTGGCAAAGTTGCATAGTCGCGGTCAGGTGCGCAGATCTTGCAAAGCGGCCCACGTCAGGCAAAATGCCCACAAACCGCAAAAACACCGTCGCAGATTGAAAAACGCCGCCACAACCAGCTCCCCATCAAGTTCCGCCGCTGGACGGCAAAAGGCGCCTTTTCGAGTCTCAGGCTCAAATTTTCGCCTTTTGGAGTTTATATAGATATGTATCCACATTTATACACAAGATGTTTAGACTTGTTTAGTCGACTGCCTCCTTTCGGCTTTGCGGCAGATCGCACCGCTTCCCCAATGCTTTCACTTCCAGTCGCGAGCTGCCTTCGCTTCAGGAAGCGGCGAACGAAAGAGTTGCCTCAAATCGTGGCGCAGGATCAACTCCCCTCGTGTGTACATGGACACGCGATGTGAACAGTTCTACTTTCTCAGGTGATTCCGGGACAGACCCCGGCAAGGCCCTTGACAGACGGCATGAACGGCCAAGGATTAGTTTGCCAGTGCCCAAGAACCGGTTTTAGAGCAGCGAGCTTCGAGGGAAGCCTAAAGCGAATCACAGCGGGAGTCAACGAAATCAGAAACTAGGACTTAAGACCGAGATCATGTTTCCCAGCATCCTTGACCACATTGCGGTAAAACATGGATCACTTTTTGGCCACTTGAAAATGGCTCAAGTTCTGACTTCCGGCGAGACCAGTCAAAAGCCCGCCCCTTTTGCGCCAGCCTTCATACAAAACGCGCTGCTGCTTGGCAGGGATGCCGTACCTGGCCGCTTCGGGCCGATCCAAAGTTCCACCCATTCCGACAGTAGGTAGCTTGGAATATATGAAAGACAAATGATGCGAGAAGGCCAGAGACAATGATACATCATTGAGATAGTGCAACATGTTTTCAAGCAAGGAACCCCGGGCTGCCTGCAGTAGGGGTAACTGGATCTGGGAAAGGCCGACTGCCTCATGGATGCTCCCCCAGAAAACCTCTGAATGCAGGAATGAGTACCCAACAATTGTTCAGGAAGTAGTATCGGGTCTAAAGGGACTTTCTAAAGCGGATTGCCATGTTACCTCGTTGCATGTGGTGACGAAGAGGTTCCAAATTCGCAGCAACACAACCCACGCTTCCCTAAACCGCCTCGCCACGCACATGGCAAGCCAGAAGCTTGGTGAAAAAGATATATCTCAGCAAGCACAACAGCAGTGTTCTGACATGCTGGATCAAGATCGGCCAAACTCATGTCTGTTGCAATCCCCCCCCTCCAATCATTGCGATGAAAGCAATTTATCCCAGGGTCCAACTTTCAAAGGCCTGGATCCGGTCAATTCAATTTGCCTAGTAGTAGTCTGTAGGATTTACCTGCGCCACGATTTGACTCCTCCTTGTTGTTTGTTATGATGATTTGGGTCACTAAGCCCAATCCTTGCACCCAACCCTTGGTATGGTCGAATAACCATTGCGCTTTGCAGCGTCTCCCCCACAAATCAACTGAGGCGACAAAATGCAAACCGGTGTTGGTTCCTGGCAAGCACTGAGTCTCCCAGTCCCAACCAGGCTGAAGGCCCTCAGGAGGACAACAAGTTCCCTCAGGAGGACAACAAGTTCCTGCAAAGGGGGCCCAACCTAATATCTTACTGTGGGTTTTAGTTGACCTTGCTCGGCGGAACCTAGCAACAGCATCTGCCATGGTTGGTTGAGCTAAGGTATACACACACACAAAAAAAATATCCCGGCAAGAGACCGGGAAAAAAGTATTGGGTGTAATTTAACGACGGGCTACATGAACTCTAACACCTCCCCCACTGCAGGTGAGAAACAAGCATAAACACATCAATGTCCAGTCGTAGCTTCTGCAAGTTCTGATGCCGCGTGTTTCTTCAAAAAAACGTGTTTGGCGCGAGGCTTCCTCAAAAAAACATAGCGCGAACCTCCCAACTGTGGCCCCTGCCAGCCAAAAACAAAAAATGCGAACGGCGCACAGGGCCAGCAGTGTGAGCGCGAACCTCGATCTAACCCGGCCTTAACTCTTACCGAAAGAACCCCTTAGTGTAAACACTAATTGAGGGAACAAAAATGCAACACATAAAGGCTGCCATCTACTTGTGCCCGTCAGATTGGTATTGCACCGCTAAGTGAAATGACTGCAAGTAGTTCATGTCAAACATGACCAACGCAACAACATCCAGCGGCACGTGTACTCGAGCTGCTGATAGAACTTCTCGACCAGGTCATTCTCACTGACCTGAGGTGTCAATCTGTCCAATTGCTTGTTTCATGCTTTTTGTTCAGTGCTGCCGCGGTGTTCAAAAGCTTCAAACGGGTATGATGTTCCATGGGGGACCCTTTGGTGGATATGCCCACCACTCACTTTTGAGGTGGTTCTGCGACAATTCCAGCACTGCCCAGCTGGTTGAGCCTAGTTCCTTCTAGGCATAAACTAGGTCTGCCAAAACGTCCTGGAGCAGCAAGGCGTGTTCCAGGAGGGTTGGCGTCGGTGTGGGGATTTGGCGTGTTGCGGTTTCTGACCAACCCAGCCACCTCACCTACCTACCGGAACCGCACCAAGAGCTGGGGCAAACCGGTGGTCTTTGGTTCCATTTACCCAGGTTCCATTTGGTCAAAACCGTTTTTGGATCCTTTGCCCATAGGTGAGCTTCCCTTCAGGGGGGGATGTTTTGAGGGGAAAGATAGGGAGAGTGAAAAGCCAAGTGAGGAGTTCTCCTTTGGCTGTGGTCGTCAAAACTGTTAAACGGGATCCTAGTTTGGTTGGTAGGCGAATTCACATGTTTGAACCTATTTTAGTGGTTGGATTGGGATGTTCACTGGGGGTACGATTTGGATTTTGACCCATGGCCATTGGTTTTCCGCTGGCGGTGTGCAGCTGAAGGCTGCGCTTTTCACCGTCCAGAGTCCTGGTTGATGATGTTTGGTGGTCATCGATCCCCCTTGAGATGTCACTATAAACAGAATGGGTGTTCCAACCCCACCCCCTGATTTAGTAGTCATTGCATATTAGCCGTTTTCAATGTTGTCCCTGAATTGCCTTCCGAAGGTGTACCACTTTTGCAGGCAAAGACCAACGACCAGCTCGTTTTTGTGTGGTTCGGGGGGGGGGAAGGATGAAGCATGTTTACGCTGGGTGGAGAACCGTGCCTTGTGACATCATTTTATTATTGATGAAGTGGGTGTCGGACAGTGATTCCTCATATAAAATGGGACACTGTTCTTTATTGGAAGTCGGGGGATATTTGCCTGAAGCAGGTATTCATTTTAGGACACATCTATCTATGTGATCATTGTTGCTTCGATAATGAACCAAATAATCCAAATTACAAAAGCTCTCGCAAAATGTTTGACACGTGATGCTCTCACGCAACGTTTGGATTTCATTCCTTGGCTGACGAGCATGTTGCCAGCATGTCTGCCGAAATCTCCCTTGTCAGTGACGACAACAGTTAGGGGAACTGGGGAGGCGTCCCTGTGCGGCAATTCGCAACCTAATTGCTGAATTTTGGCAACCACAGCCAAATTGATCCGAGGCTTCGGCCGTGATAAGCCCGGCCTTTCGGCCCAGCGTCTGGACGTGCACCGTGAGCTGCATGGCCTGGCGACGATGGCGACGGTTCTTTTTGCCCGGTCTGCGGGAAGCTCATGGCCCGTTTGGAGGTGGATTTGAAGGGCAAACCTGGAGAAGCCAGGGTGCCACTGGTCAAACTGAAGAGGGCTATCAATTTAGCTTGGGTGTTGCCTTTTGGTGGGGTGATGGTTGAAGGGGGGAAACATGGGGAACCCTTTTTTGGGTCTTTAACTCTTTCCAGCAGTGATGGAAATTATCTCACAATGTGCCACTGGTCAAACTCGGGGCTCTCAAATTTAGTTTGCATTGTTTGGTCCGGTGACTCTGACATGTCCAGCCCTGCTTTGAGCCTAGCAACTCCAAATAAAGGTCTTCTCGTCAGCAAATGTTTGTTTCTTCTTGGGGGTTGCCTCTCTGAGAAAAAACACAAAACAATAGTTCAGTAATCATTGCCATCGCACTTAAATCAGGCCCTAAGGCGACTTGCCCCCCCCCCCCCCCCCAACCTTTCTGGCTTTGGAGGAAACCGACTGAGACCAACCATGTGGAGGAGTCCCTGGTTTTGACACACGCCACAAAGTGGCGGGGTACCCCCAGACTTGGCGCAACATACAAGGCACCGAACATCGTGCCAGTAGCCCGCCCGCTATCCCGCCATCCCACCATCCCGCCTGCAGTCGAAGGCAAAGAGCAATGCACCCGAATTATAGGCTCTTTGATGTCTTGACACTTGACATGTCTTGATTCATTTCAGGCTTTGGCATTGTCGGAACAAGGCCTTGAAGGTTGGTCAGTCAGACGTCGGTCGTTTTGCTTAGCTTCCACTCCGCAGGTCAACACCAAAAAACAGCCCCTGGAGCACAATGCCAGGCCCGAGTTGTGGTCAACTGGCTTCGGCACATCAAACTCCCGGCTCCGCGTTTTCGCGGCATCGGTGGAGCAAGCCGAGACGTAACCGAAGACACGTGGTCGTCTCAACCGCCCTGGATTCTAACGCATGTGTGCGATGTCCTGACCTTGACCCCGTGAAGTTGTCAACATGCTTCGAGTTTGCCTGAGTTAGAAGAAGGCAAAGCCACATCCGTCGACATCCGTCGACCTCACACCCTTGCGTATGCTGGTGTGTATCTGAGCGGCTGGGGAAACTACAATGTCATTATATTATATACATATGATAAATCTGCGGATGTGCATTGCGTGGCAACAGCAGGTGCCAATCCTGTTTGCCCGCCCCTCCAGCCCTGCATACGCCCAGTGACCATGGTCAAGCTGTTTTGCTCGGCATCTCTGATTTCACGTCCGTTCTAAGCGAACGAACTGGCTGGGTGAAACGTGTCAGCAAAGCAAGTGGCGCTGGTTCTGACCTGGCCATGAATTAAGCATAGCATTGTCTCCATAGGTGTCCTTTTAGGGGAAATAGATGGCCCTGGTAGATGATTAAACCACCAGGTAAACCAGGAATCGCCCTCGAAAAATCCTTTACCTATGATTCTCTCTTGAAGGAGGCAACAAAACTTCAAGCCTGCAAGTCTGTCTGCAAAAGTGTAGGGTAGGTGTGCCCGGAAACTACTCAAGGCCGCCCTCTTTCCTCTTTCCCCACTGGTGGCGGACGAGTAAGGTGCTTTGTACCTTCGCAAGTTGGCCTACTTTGTCTCTCTGGTGCAGTGCTGGTGAAGTGACTGATTATTAATGTTGAGGGGGAACATTATGCATTAGCTGCTCCTAATATATGGCTAATGGATTGAAATATTCACATGCTGCGGAGTGCGTACTTACCTTGCAAGCCAACATCTAGACGCTGCGGTAGAGTTGCGTGAACTAATGTAGCATGTTGCGTGTGACTCAAATGATGCCTTCAGTTGAATGCTTCACAACGTAATTAATAAGATTATCCCCTCCACTTACTAATTGTCCGGCTCTTCGATCCCTTCGAGTTTGTTTCTGGGGTCCAAGCAACCACATTTAGCTGGCTGTTGCGTTCCGGCCCGCTCGAGAAGCTCGTGAGCATAGCCAGCCGAAGCACGTCCATGAACCCCTCATGGCCAACAGGACTCTATCAGCCTGCCAGTCTGGACATACCGAGCGCCCTCAAGGCTGGCTCAGTGGTTGCCAGCTCGGTACGACTCTGTGTCAGCCAATTTACTATGCGCCCCCCAATATGCAGCGAGTTGTCAAAATAGCGGCCCTCTACTTTCATGCTGGCCCGCCTTTACGGGGGCTTCAACAAGAGACCCACATTTTGTTTGACCCACATAAGCCCCATGCCGCAATACCATGTACTACTCATCTCCCTCTTCCTCACTTCAGCTGTTCGCCGCAAACATAGTTCATCCGAGCATGAAAACCCTCGAAGGACAGAACATCGTGATTTTTACCCCACAATCACAGCAACCCGCTTGCCTGCTGCCGTCAAGGAGACGCCTGGCGCGGCATCTCACTTCATGCCGGTGGCTGAGCCGTCTCGCGTGGCTTGCATGACCCCGAGAAAAGCAACCATGGCAGGCTCTGCTTGAATGTGGAGTCGATTTTCCGCAAAGATCACGCATCTCAGCAACCAAGGAAGACCATTTGAACATCAAGGCAAACAGTCCGTTCAACTGCCACGTGGCAGTTATTGCGTCTGGCACATACATCAGAACCTACAATGAAATCTCAGCCTAATTGAACGCTCAGACCCCAAACGCACAAACAGCTTCTGAAACCGCTTGCCAGCAGCCTAGCCCAAACCGATTAACTACATTGGCCTTGAATACCCTGTGGAGGACATCTTTTGGGTGGGGGGTCATGTCCACCAACCACTTTGGAGGTTGCTCGCATTGAAAACCATAGTCATGTAAACCAGTTGGGTGACCACATCAAAAGGTTCAAGTGATTACCAAAAGGAAATCAAGACCCGTTCACACCATCATTTCCGGCGTCACTTTCGTGTTCGGACTCAAATGCACTCCAAGGACAACACCAACAAACACCGACACCAGCATCGCCAGACTTCTTCGGTTGGCCGGTACTGTACTGAAAACAGAAGAGAAAAAAGGCACCGCTGCAAATCCTGTTGGCTTTGGGTTCATGCTCATGCAAGCTCTTGTACTGAAAAAAGCAAAAAACGGGCACCGCTCCAAATCCTGTTGCCCTGACCCTTAATACTCAGTTGCCCAAAGGACCTGGAACTAAAAGGTGAACCTAAATATGGACCAAATGGGAAAGACAAAAGGTCAATAGGTCGGCTTTGAACAACTGAGTTAATTCTGATCAGGGAGAAGGATCCTTCCCTTTGGCAAAGGGTCTTGGGCGCTGCTCCATGGCTTCTGGTTTTTACGGGCGCCCTCGTATTTCACAACAAAAACATCACCGGACGGCTCAATCTGGAGAAAACAGGCGGAAATACTCTGGACAAACAAAACAGCTGAGATGAAGGAAACCCTATGAATGCAACAACAAACCTTTCCAATTGGCGGTTTAGCCAAAATCCACCAGTGGGCATGAATGAACATCTATGAATGGGACAAAACCACCTACCAATAGGTGGCTTCGCAAATTCTTTGTCCATCAGTAAGACCTCAAAAAGCCTCCATCTTCGCGCCTCACCGCCTTGGAAGATGGGCGCGCCTCGCGACGCCCCAACAGAGGGTGGGGAGGGATGAGGACCTGCGAGCCGGGCGTCTTTGAATCGTTTCACAGGCTGTTGGAGGAAAACCGAAACGAAACCCGGCCCCGTTTTGGACAAATTTCAGGACGAAAAGGCATGGTTGACTCTCAATACTCCCCTGCTCTGGGAGGGTTGGTCCGGTCTTCTAGTCACCCCCACAAAGGGAAAATGGGAACCACACGTGAAATTCCGATCCCCCCCGACTTGCATCTTCGTCTTTGCGGCTCAAGTTTCTTGGAAATAGCAATTCAGGAAGTGTCCAGATTCAAACTTGGGCTCCTCATCAAGGAACGAGCTGAGGGGCCAAAACATAAGTTTCTGAAAATGAACAACACCCCCTCCAAGCACGCCTCCAATTGAGATAGCCAAGGTTTGATTGATGATTTTTCCGCCTAGCGAAGCAGCTTAAAAGAATCACCCGCGCAGAAATCAGGGCCTTTTTTTTTTCTCTGAATTAGAATGTTTACACCAGGCGATCAACCGCCCCTCGAGGTTGTTTTCGACCCACCATCCCTCCGAACGGGGCCCCCGTCTTTCGAGCATTGGAACCCTCAACATTCAAGTGGATATGCCTGGCCCTGTCAAGGTCTCCTTAAACCAGCCGGGGCGGGCATCTCCCGTCTCGCTTACACATGGTGCTCTGTGTCCCCCTAAAAAAAAGCAGCAGCTCCTGGACCGAGTGCTGAAAAATGCCTGGCATGCAAAGGGTAAGTCGCAACGACTCTTCCAAGTCAAACTGACTGTCACAGCGAACAGTGGAGCTGTTAAAACAAAATGCCAGAGAAAGCACGGTCATGGTTTCAAATGGAAGTCTTTCCGCCCCAAGAAACCTATCCAGACCCTAACCTTTTGTAGGTTACATGGATCCAATCGCGTCCAACAGATCCCGTTTTGGGGCAATGTTCGGATCAAAACCCCGTCCTCCATCGCTCTGGATATCAGCCTCTCCTCCAAAGGCCATGCGCAAGACCATTCAAAAGAATGGGTGTAGATTTGATGGTGGGCCCTTGGTGGTGGGGATTCATGTCCACCAACCACTTTTGAGGTGGTCCCCCATTAACAACACTCAAACATAGCTGTACCCAGATCAAGAAACCCAAGGAATCAGTCAAAATGTCTAGGAACTTTGTCATGCTTGCAGATTGAAGTTGGAAGCATTCTGCTCTGTCACCGTCCTGTCACATATACTCCTTGGCAAAGAAGCTACTTCGACGCTACACGATTCCAGCACAGTCCCCTTGGACAAAATATTGCGTTGTGCTGGCAACCACAAAACATTGCCATCATGGCGACAGAAACAAACACGGGCTAGCAATCATAACGAAAAACAAACATCAGTGCCAGCAAACAGAAGATTGAGACTTGGCACATGATAGACTCCCATCATGAAAAGAATGGGAAATTGAAGGATCGAGCGGCCTCAACAAGCCTTCCGAAGCAGCCTAGCAGGCATGAAATTCCTTGGTTCTACAAATGCATGGTCTCTGAATCACACTTCCTCAGGCATGTTAAATTGTTCGCTCCCGCTTGTGCATTGTGTAATATGGGCTGTAGCGTACACAGATTTATGATTGAGCTGGTTGGACAGAAACAGGGCGTGACAGAGCGGGAACAAACAAACAAACAAACAAACAAACAAACAATCAATCAATCAATCAATCAATCAATCAATCAATCAAGCAAGCAAGCAAGCAAGCAAGAAAGCAAGAAAGCAAGCAAACAAACAACACAGCATAACTGTAAGAGTTGGATGTCGCATGAAAACAAACTATACTGCCATATGTTCGTAAACACACGCGTGCGCACGCACGCACGAACGCACACAAGCACGCACGCACGCACAGACAGCCAGACAGACACACACACAGACACAGGCACAGACGCAGACACAGACACAGACAGAGACACAGACACAGACACAGACACAGACACGGACGCAGACGCAGACGCAGACACAGACACAGACACGGACACAGACAGACCGACAGACAGACTCACAGACGGACGGATGGACCGACAAACAGACAGACAAATAGACAGACAGAGACAATAGACAGACGAGACACGTCCACCAATCAGACACAAACACACACAAACCAACACAAACACACACACACAAAAAAAAAAAAAAACAAGACAAAAGAGCACATGCAAAAACAACAACAACAACATAAAACACTGCAACCAACACACACACACAGCAACGGAACCATGGACTTGGTGGTCTCTGCAGCCTTCACACTTCCTCAAGTCTTGGGGAAGAGCCGGGAGGAGACTCTGAAATTGCTTGGCAGGTCTGAAATGGCCTTTTACTTGCCCAGTTGCGACGAAATCAAAAACGGCCTTTTGCGATTGGCTCCAAATAGACACCCAGCCCAGAAGGAAACCAGGGCGCCAATAGGCAAGTGAGTCAAATGCCTGCAAGAACCTGACGCTGACCCCAGAAATTCGCAGCAGGCAAAAGTGTCCTCCAGCTGGAAGAGGGGAGTCCGCAGCGCTCTCATCCTATGGGCCAAAGCTACCCTGAACAAACCGATGCCACACATTTCAAATCCTGGCGTCGCCCATGGGAGATCAAAATTTGCATGCAGGCCAAATAAGTGAGCAGACGGTCTGCAGCAGACGGGTGCACCACTGGCAACTGAGATGTCATACTCCTTCCCAGCTGCAGGACACACAGGCAAGAGACCCCTAATGGAGGTGCGGCAGTGTCAAGAATGGATCACGTTTTGCCATGTTTCCCAACGCAGGGCCTGCTCTACTCAGCCCATGCACAATCAAAACCCCGTCTCAACTGTTTCACCCAAGCCCTCGGGCCCGCCAAAAACGTTGGAACCCAAGCGTAGCCCCAAGTTGGCACACCGTAACGGAAATCAGGGCATTGATTAATTAGCAGCGTGCCTATTTAGAAACGATCCCCCACTGGGCGGAAGCTGAGTCCGGAAGGCTCCGCGGTCGACACAGGAATCGCCGTGTAACTTGGAGTCAAGTCACGGCCTTTTGTCGAGCCACTGCGATTTGTGAACCGTTTCGCAACATGAGTAGTACTGGATACGATGTACAACGCATGTGTCTATAATTTGAAAAAATACTATGTATTCTCGCGCACCGATGTTGCATGATTGGTGTAGCCGCTAGCCGCTCTCCACCTCAAGGCAGAGCTTGGTTTCCACAGGTAGACACGAGTCAAGCTGGAAGCCGCCAAAGCAGTGCCAAATCGCAGGGGCATTCGTCGGATTCACCCAAACAACAGGTAAACATGCCCTCCGACCCGTGATTCCAAGCTGCTACTACTGGGGAGGGGGATCATTTTCGAACACCGATTTTGGATCATTTTCGAACACCGATGTCCTGGATCATTTTCGAACACAGAGTGGGTCATTTTCGAACACATGGGGGGGCTATCCTGCGGCACCCGTGGGGTGGGGGGCCAGGAGGCTCCGAGTCCCAAGTTACCTTGGCTTTTTGAGCTAAGATGTCCTCGGCGACTTGCGCTCGTTGGCCCCCGTAAAGCCGTGAAAGCTCGCCGTGAAAACTCGTGAAATTTCAAGCTCTGAGTTATCTTGTCCTCGCGACACAAAAAACCTCCTTAGCTCATACGGCCTAAGTAACTTGCGAATCGGAGCCTCCTGGAATTGCGATCGCCGCTTACTGCGTGGCGGCGCAACGCGTGTTGGGGCTGGGGGGGGGGGGTGGGGTGGGGCAGTTACGTTCGCTTCTGGCTGCGTGACCGTGCGACTGCGTCCTGAGGGGGGGGGGGGGGGATGGGGTGGGGCAGTTACGTTCGCCTCTTACTGCGTGACCGTGCGACTGCGCGCTGGTGGTGATGGCGGTGTTGTTGGTAGCGATGATGACGATGTTGATGATGATGGTCATGTTGATGATGATGATGATGATGATGATGATGATGATGATGATGATGATGATGATGATGATGATTATGTTGACCATGTTGATGACGATGATGATGACGGTGATGATGTTGATGATGATGGTGATGATGTTAATGATGATGATATTGATGTTGCCGATGAGGATGTCGATGGCGATGACGTTGATAATGTCGATGATGGTGGTGATGTCGACGTTGATGTTGATAATGGTGATGATGTTGTTAATGATGATGATGATGGTGATGATGTTCAAAAACGAGCCAAAACACGCGTTCAAAAACGACCACCTTCCCCTACTACTGCTACTACGACTACGACTGCTACACCACCACTACTACCGCTACTACCGCTACCGCTACGACTGCGGAACGCACGAGTCCTGAAAATCCATATTACCTTCTTTTTCTCATGGCCTCTGGGCAAGACAAGCGTGAAGCGAGGATCACAAGACAACGGCCCTTCCCACGCATTGCCCAAATGCGTGGTTCTTGTTCAAAGGCTTGCAAGGGCAGCATCATTTGCAGCAGTCACAGGCCTCAGCGCTGTCCGACATATCCTCACAGTAACGTTGGGTCGGTTCCTTGTTCCGTAGAACGGGTGCGACTTCAGCGCTTCCAAGAACATGCCGATACTCATCATAGTGAGGGACGCCCCCAGAGGCTGGCGTCAACTGTTTGCGTGCCACATATATGCACATATATTTGCACTTGTTTTGTCGTCTGAAACAATGAGAATGCAGTCTGTCAAATAATCAAAGCGACAATCCTCCTGCAGTAGTAGTTATAGTAATGGTAGTAGTCGTAGTAGTAGTAGCAGCAGCAGCAGCAGTAGTGGTAGTAGTTGAAGTACGGCCAGGCACTTGTGGTTTGCCCGGAGCCTCTCTTCTGGGTGCTTCACGCGCTCAGATTCCCTCGCGCCTGCGACCGTTTTAGCCCACGCGCCTGGTGTCGAACGGTCTACCCTTGGAACATCGGCAAGCTTTCGCCGATGCGCGCAACTGCGCAGGGTGAGGCTTTTCGATGGGTCATTTTCTGGGACTACCCTAGGTTCAGCCAGAAGCTAGCAGGTAAGTGAAGCTCTCCACACCCTAAAGTGAGGTTTTGAGGGAAAGCTAAACCTCAAAACTAAACCCTAAACGGGTTGTAACCCTTAAACCTGCACCCTAAACCTGAACCCTCAAGTGAGGGTTTGAGGGCAAGTTAAAACCCAAGACTAAGCCCTAACCTCTAAACCCTAAACAGGTGGTTTGAGGGCAAGTTAATCCCCAAAACAAAACCCTAAACCCTAAAAAGGGGGTTTCTACACCTAGCCCTAAATGAGAGTGAAACCCAAAACCTGAACCCTAAAGTGAGGATTTGAGGCAAGTTAAAGCCAAAGCCTGGACAGAGACCAGAAGGTGCAACAGGTGGTTCTGGGCGAACCACACGCGCTGCGGGTAGAAGTAGTAGTAGCAGTAGCAGTAGAAGTAGAAGTAGAAGAGTAGTAGTAGTAGTAGTAGTAGTAGTAGTAGTAGTAGTAGTAGTCGTAGCAGCAGCAGCAGTAATAGTAGTAATAGTAGATGGTGCTACTGCTAGTGCTAGTGTGAGTGCCAGTGTGAGTAGCAACAGAAGTAATAGTAATAGTACTACTACATCGAACACTTCCTGCCAGTGGGATTTCATATGGTGCCTCACAGGGCATGTTTAGCAGAAATGGGTTGGAGACGAAGTTGCAGCCGTGCTTTCACGCCTTCGGCCCGCATCTGCCTGGCACTTCCAGCGCCTACATAGTATACGAACTTGAAAACTTTGCCCGGGACGCAGCCACATCTCAGCGGCACGTGTAGCGCCGACGCACGAATTGGTAAACCTTTGTCCGGGATGCGACCATTGATGGTGCGATTCATCAGGGTTTTGCACTGCGGGCTTCTGAGCAGTGACCGCTGGAACCAGGAGTCGTTTCGACCAAGAATCTGCGTGCTGCATCTTCCAGATCGAGTTCAGCCCAAGCAGACAAATAAGTATCAAACATGTAACTGTTAACCTCCCACAGCGGCTGCAGGAAAGCTAAGCCAGCGAGCATAGGAGCATGGCAAGTCCTGCAAAGAAGAACATAAACTGGAATTCAAAACCACATCTGTGGCAAGTGTGAGATCATGCGTGACCAGAAGCCGAAGTCAGTGTCAGTGTCAGCGACAGTTAACATCCCCCCCACCCAGGCCCCCCGTCACGGGCATAAGTTTCTTTGCGCAAGTTCTCAGCGCAACTTTCTCAATGCAAGTCGCTGCGCGGGTCGCTCGCTCTTCAAGCGTTCTGCGCAGCTCTCTTCACGCAAGTTCTGTCAGACGTCTGCAAGTTTCCTCCCACGTAGTTTTCAACGCACGCATAACGGCGCAAGCCTCTCTGCTTGCAGGCGCCTGTTTGAAAAAAACACACAGGCCATGGGCACGTCATGCGCCGGGAGCTGCGGCCTGGCTTTCTGCAAACATCAGGCTTCTCAAGCACTCTGCGCAGACCTTTTGCTCTTGACCCCCTTGTCCTCCTCCAGCGCACGCATCTGAGCTTTGTAGTCTGTGGGCTTACGCTTCTTCTTGCGGCTCTTCAAGCACCGCAGCCCCAACCAACTTTCCAGGCGGAGAGAGACTGTAGAAGCTTGTGCCTCTGGTAGCTGTGAGCGACCCGCTCCCATGAAGTAGTCAGCACTCGGCAAGCTAGCCAGCGAGACATGGGTGAAGTCGCGCACCTCGCTGTCCAGGAAACATGGGTGAGGGCCGCGCACCCTTGGAAACAGCAACACCCAAGCCACACTGCAGGGATCTGCCCAGTGATTTTCCTCAGTCCAATGTGTCCTAGTTGAATGCTGCACTGTCCTTACCAATACCCAGCGCTGTGCCGCCAGCCTCCGCGCTTGCGGCAGCAAACGGCTGTGTGTTTGCTAACCCCGCTGGCCCGACACTTTCCCTTGCGGCAAATGTGTCTTCTTGAGAAGCTTCTCTATCTCCTCACGTTTGTAGACCTTCCGCGAGTCCTCAGTATCCGTGACACCAAAACAAGGCCAAGTCGTTGTTCGCGGCCCCGCGCGGTTTGGCCGTTAAAGCGCGGCAACCATCTCAGCAAATGGCTGAGTCCCCCACGCCTGCCACGCGCGCATCACGCTCCATTTTTATCGCAAAGCCAGGATTCATTGGTAATTTGTGTATATAAGTGACTCAAAGTCGATGCTGCACTGGGAAAGAGCGTTGCAAAATCAGAGGCCCGAAAAACAATCCGACGAGCACTATGTGTTGATTTGTTTGTTGTGGAACCAGCAGCTAAACAGATCACGGCCTCAAGTCGCGGCACAGCAGGCCGACAGCAGTCCACATACAGCCCGCTGTGTTATACCGGAACATGCTAGAGTACACATACTCCCAAATGCAGTGGTTCGCCGCTTACATGAGGGGTAGACGGTGATGCCGTGGAACTGGCTAATGTTCGAGAGTGGCAATTGCAGCGAAACAAACTCACTGCAAGGTGCAAGGGTCCCCATCACGCAAACTGAGCAGTCGGTACGTGTTTATGTGTATGTATGTGTATATATATATGTATATATATATATATATGCGCACACGCACGTCTTAGGGCCCCGGCGCTG